TTACCTTCTCAGGACACAGCAAAATGGATTCTCTGCGGCTCTCTTCCTCTTTTCTTCTTCTTCCAACCATCACAAGGGAGCACATTTTTCTCCTCCCCTCTCCGCCACTTTCTCTCTCTACACTGTTTTCTGCGCCCTTTTTAAAAAAAAGCTTTGTCCCATCTGGTCATGCCATATCGTCTTCATCCGCTTGCCGTATTTTTTTTCTTCTCTTGCTCTTTTCTTTCTGCCCGGGATCTTCTTAGCTGTCTTTCTTTCATCGAAAGCATCTTTGACATCCTGCATATCTTTCTTAATAGCATTCGGTACTTTCCCTGTCCCTTTCTTCGAGTGCTTTCTGGCAAACTACTCCGACAATTTCTGGGCCATCTCCCCTCGAGTGAATCGTTTTTGATTTTCGGCAAACGATTCTAGGTGTAATTTGGGTTTTTGTTGAAGAGACATTTTTTCCGTCTCTCTCTCGAACACTTGAACACTTGAACACTTCAACACTTCAATGGGGAGGGGGAGAGGGGAAGGAAGGAGGGGGGGGAGGCGAAATAAGCAGATTTCCTGTATCTGAATTACGAGATAATTTGCATTTTGACAAAATTGCACTGTGCGAAAAAGGTTAAAGTCTTATGGCTTCGAGGAAACGTAGGAAGAAAATAAGTCTTAATGGATAAAGAAAAAATGGAAGATATGTTATTTCATAATCAGCACGGAAATATTTCGGAAACCAACACAAGGGACACAAGGGGGATAAGTGCAATTAAGTTTGTGTAGCACACGCAACTTGGGTTCTTTCTCTCCCTGGGCACTAAGCAAGTGGGATCGAAACGTTAACTTCTTCTAAAGGGAGAGAAAGCTTTTATCTTTTTGTACACTTGCCTTTTAGCTTTTGCAAGTTTATGAATGCTAGACGGATTTGTGTCTCTTGGCAACCATTATACCTCGCTTCGAAACCGAGTTTATTCTACAGATTATTTCCGCTCTTAATAATCAAGTTATACCAATCACATAAACGCAACAACAATGTATCGAAAGGAGAGAGAAATTGACTACATAGATGCTGTGGCTAGGTGAAAGAGGTAAAAGACCCGGTATAGCCCATTTCTAGAAACGGTATTTGACTCTTCTTTTTGCTCCTATGGTATACTACAATCCCGAAAACGAGCATGGCTAGAAAGGTCTTTTTATTTTTTCTATATTCAAGCTTATTATTTAAGATCTGTTATTTTTTCCTATTATTGATTGAAAAGGATTTCTTTAATTCCTTTGTTCGTTTCAGGATAAAAAATTCTTGCTTCTGCTTCAGCATACAAGCAACCATCATATTTTTTTTTGTTTGAATCAATTACCATTTTTCTTTATCTGGTGAAGGTTTACTGCGCCTAGGACCATTTCACAAAACTAATTGGATTTATCCAAGAAAAAAAAAGTCATCGATCGACATCATCAATAGAAAAGGCACATTAACCTCAAGCATCGGTAAAATCACAAGAAAGAAGGCAATTACTGAAGGCAATTGTACTTGATTATTTGATTATTTGCTTATTCCATTTACCTTCATCTTTTATCGGCCGGATCTCCCTTTTTTTAACATTCAATTGGTATAAGAACAGCATAGTTGAGCTCTTGAATCCACTTACTGGAGCTGCCATATCGTATATTGTTTCTTAGCTGGTTATTGTTTTCATCTTTTTTTTTTGAAAGAAGGTAAAATCGAAGAGGGTTAGAAGTCAATATTAATTTTGGTAGATCAAAAACACTAGGCTACAAAGACTATTATTGAGCAATCAAGAATTGTGGTTGAACGTTTGCTCTGATTCTACCATAAACTTATACACTGAATTACTACTACACTTGGTTGTTGTTGTTTTCGTGTTAATTTCGGACAATTACTTGATATTTTTTTTTATCTTCAGGAGATAAGAATTATATATCGCTCTGAATTGGCTCTTTACCTCAATAAATATTGTAACCGGACAATTTTACAAGGTAATTAACTCAACTGAAGGACTAGATCATTTCGGATCGCCGCTTGAATTATTAATATTCACTGCCATCATTTTTATTGAACTATACTTTATTGTTCATTGCGAAAACAAATCTGACAGGCACAGGCACCCTACCATATTTGTGAGATCTTTCAAAAGAATTTTGTTTCCTTTACCAAAGTTTAAATAGTTGAGGATAGTTCTAAAATTTCCCCTATCTGCTAAATATCGAGCATATTCATTGTGGGGCTTCATCAATTCATTTCCATAGGGGGACTAAAGAAAAAGCTTGAAAGTATTAAACCTATTTGTGCTTCCTGGGACACGATCTGTAAAGCAGTTGTGATCAACCGAAATTTCTCTTGCGATTCTAGACAAAGAGATTAAATTCGAATTAGTCGGCTCGTATTTTTCTTTTTTTTGCGACAGTAACTGTTGCCACGCGCATTAAATTCTAAACAAAACAGCGGCTGATAGTTACATTTTAACTACAAAGGGCGTTCCTGAATATCTAGAGTCAATTGCATAATTGTGTTACTGACCATTATCTAAGACTTTGAAATAGTTGAGGTATAAATTGAACCTTCGCAATTTCATATTGGGAGGCCGGATTTTATAGGATAACCTCATCCATTTTTTTTGAGTTTCTGTTGACATTTTGATTTGAAGAAAGGTGACACTTTTTGAGTCTTTGCGATCATTTCTCACAGTAGTTTACCGATAGGCTTAGCACCCGATCAAGAGACTTTACTTACTGTAAGCACTCTTCAAAAACTTGGGGTGGGTCATCTCACTGGAGAATAGGAAACCCATAGAAATTGTTTTTGTACTAAAAGGTATCAGCTCCAATAATACAATTATTTGAGATCACAACCTGATTTTGTGCACTGGAATTTTTCTTTTTTTTTTTAATTATTTTGTTTGTGGTTTTTATTTTTAACAAGAGGTAGTACCGACTTTAAAAGACAAAAAGAGGTGGATATTCTGGACTTCAAGAAATTTTTCGCTGCTCTGTCTATTTTGTCAGAACCACTCCATAGCCTATTTTGAAAAAAAGGGTAATAAGGGCAAAGCTTCCATTTCTCTTTTCTTTATTTTTTTTCAATAGCAAAACGCACAATATATCCTACAACTGTGCTGCGTCTCTTTCACTGCACCATCGGTTGATTCCATTCCAAATTTGCGTTTTGTCTCTGTGTGTGATCTCTGTAAATTCTATTTCTCTCACAGAGTCTCACCTGTCTACTACAAATCTTTTTGAGAAGGACACTATTTTTTTGTTTCAGCTGGTCATTTCTCTACCTTGTTTACCACCAATCTTCTTTTATTTCTGCGCACTTTTCCTGCAGGTGTTGAAAATATCCGAAAATTATCTCAGATTTTTTTTTTGGTTTCCTTCGTCTTACCTGAGCAAAGCCGGTTGAAATATTTATTTTTTAAATTTTTTTTTCTTTTCCTTCTAAAGCGTATTTGTACGGTGTTACGTCTGCGAGGCATTAAACTCTCTCCATTCCCATAAATAAGGTAGCAGGAAAAAGTAATAATAACGTAACCAGAGAATAACAAGAAAATTCCTCACTGCTTTTGTTTTCTTTTTTCATTCTTCCCTGCGAGCCTTAAAAAAAAAGATAGATACATTTTACGATCTCCTGCGTGTTTCATTAGTGGTCATTAATTTTTTTCAGTTGCTTTCCTTTGCTTAGCTAACTCTTTCCTTTCTGTTTAAAGAATACCTATTCCTGTTGCTGCTTCTTACTGCTCTCCTCATTTCTTCGGTTACTCTCTGTTGTTTTTTATTTTGGTTTTTGTCGAATTTTTAACTTGAGTACTGCCTTATTACTGTGAAGTAAGAGTTTGCTAAAGGTAATTTTTTTTCTTCTTTCAAGAACAAGCACGAGGTAATTGTGGGTTCATCAAATATTATCCACTTTTTGCCAGAATCAAAGAAGAACAAGCAAGTTTTACTGGCTCATAGAAGACAGAAAAAAAAAGTCGTTATAACATAGCGCATTACTGTTGTGTTGTTGATTTTTTTTTTTTTTCGACATCTCTTTTGCTGTCATTGAAACTTCTGTACAACAATACTCATCACAACTGAAGTAAACGAAACTAAAAAAAAACCAATCGACTGTTCAATTGTACCATTGGTCGTGTGTCTCTTTTATTTGCACTTTGCTCTATTCTTTACTGAAAAAGAAAGAAATCATATTTTTCTTCCATTCTGAAGAATATTACCAAAGATTTCTTTGTATTGCTAAGATTAGTCGCAACCAAGCAAAAATTCTGCTAGATTTATTATTCCACTTTTTTTCTTCTTCTCATCATTCTTCAGTAATCAAGCAGTAGTGAAGACAAAGAGGAACAAGGAGCGAAAAAAAATTATAATCAAATCATCACAGATCACAATTTCAAAGCAAATATAATTGTAGAAGGGAAATTCGAGGGAGAAAAAAAAAGATATAATAAAATAAAGACAAGAACTTCAGAAAGTTATTCAATCTCTTTATTTCTTTCATTACTACAAGTACCAAATCAATTGCTAAAATACATTCAATCAATTGATATTGTTATTATACAAGCACAACTATAGGGTTATAAGAAGCATTTAGGGATTTGATTTAGACATCGTCTTTTTCTTGATTACATTGCATTGACCCATTTATTATAATAGGAAGATTCAACGCAAGCTCATTAAATCTCAACTGTGTGAGTGTTACTTTTTCTATTTATTTTATTATCTTTGATAGTCTAATAAATTAGAAACCCAGTAGCAGCTGCTTTTGATCTTGTGAGTAATTGCATATTCCATCACCCGTCTTCCAAATTATTGGCGGGATATCGTCAGAAGGCTTTTTTTAATAGTTAGCATAAGTTTGCAACAGCATACACATTTTAGTGGAGGGACAATAATTCAAATTATTGTGCTTATTCGGAGAACTTTAAAAGTAAACAAAATAAACAATTAGTCAAAATACTGGGGATTTATCAGAGAGGTAGGGTACGAATAAAAGTTAAAGTGAAATGGACATATCACCGACCTTTAAAGGGTACATAGAGGATGAGAGTGATGTCTTACTAATATTACAGGCGACTTTAGATGGTAAGTTACAACAAATACCAAGGAGACCTTATGAAATTGAGAGACCGTATCTCATTGTTTCAGGGAATATTTTTGTATTTGTCGAAGAAATTTCAGGCATAAAACGGTGGACAGATGGCATATCGTGGTCACCCTCTAGAATAACGGGAAAATTTCTTGTATACAGAGAACTTGATAAGAGTGGGGCCCAGCACCACACTCAAGATTTTGATATCAACTCTCCTGCAAGCATGAAGTATACAGGTTTGATAAAGAAGACGATATCAGTAAAACTAAGAAGAGCCCCCTTCCACCTTTTGGAAAATTTTCATATTGTTTCATATTATACACTAAGCGATGTTCAGGAAAAGAAAATACTAAGTCCGAAGCATATACCAATTTTTAATGAAGTAACTCCATCGGGTGAGTTGATTAAAGCAATGGAAAATACGACACTGGGGAACGTTAAAACTTCGTCCTCCGGTGGACATTCTTCTCATAAGCATTCGCCATTGGACAGTCACGAGAAACAAACTTCAATTGCTTATGGGAACTATAATGCACCAGTTTCCACGAATAGCTTGTCAATGGGTAACCCGGTACCCAATAATAGTTCACATTATTTTTATTCAGCGAATGGTTTACAAGCATATGGATCAAATGGTACAGCATATCAAGGTCAACCATATGTGCATCTATCGAACAATAACTCGACAAATTGTAATAATAGTAATGAAATGCATAGTTCTTTAAATTCGCATAACAGTGCTGGCGTGACCAATAGTGGATTAAGCTCTGGACAAAAAATACCTGGATTCCCAGGTGGCGGCTCTTATTATTATACATATTCCTCCTCGAGTGGCAAACCTCAAGATATGAGTTCATCGACATCTCCACGTCCACTTTTGGTTAAGGGTAGCACATCGATGAGCAACAATAATACAGGCTATGTCGATCATATCCAGCAATCAGGAGGGCCAGCAAGTTTGAATGCTAACACGAGTTTAGGGAATGCTACTCCAAGCTCTGGGAGTGTAGCGGCATCTATTCCGCCTTTAAACACTCCGTATTACTACTCATCAACAGCAACTCCAAATAATATGAGTAATCCGCATTTCTCAGTAGTCCAACAGGGAACACCATATCATGCTATTGAAGGCAATACATCTATGTCCTCTTTCCAAGGTCAAAAGGCAACGAATAGTACAGTACCATATTTGTCAAGTGCAAATGGAAATCCAATTTATCAACAAGTATCACGAAATTATTCCGGAGCTGACACATCGATGAGTCCTTTAAACCATACGAGCTTTCAAGGCTATCAATCACAGGTCGGTATCAATTCTAGCGCGGCATTAATGAACGGCAATCTATCTGGAAACCATTTAAATAAACAAGGCAGTAGCGTCACACATCAAAATTTATCTGAACAACATGCTCCGCAAAATCAACAGTTGATTGGCAGTTTTAGTAGCCAAGGATTGCCTCACTCTCAAAATTCCTACGCACCACAATACTACTCTGGACTTCAACAAGCATATAATTCCAATCTTGAGAAAGGTATTAGCAAGATTGCAAGCACCCCAAGTCTGCCTCAAGTTCAACAAAATACTGGAAGTACTGTATCGAATTTGGTAGGAAATTCGGCACCAACCCCGAATATACTTCCATATGTGAGTTCAGGTCCCACGCACTCGTCTTCGATGATTGTGCCGAGTACTGCAGCAACAACGCCTAGCACACTAACTTCTGTCAAAGGGCCTTCATCTTTACAAGTCAATAATTTCTCTCATGCAACAATTGATAGAGGGTATCAATATCACCAGGGGCAAGTTCCTAACGAAAATAGATCTTAATTTATTAGTTGTGGAGACCATGTTATGTCTTCTCAAAGCTAAATACTAAGACTACACAACTTAGCATGAATTACAAATATGTCAAGCTATATGTGCATACCAGGTATAAATCAAGTTATTTTTAAACATCTTAAGGAAGAAAACGAGGTATATAATGGCTCATTTTAAAGTAGCATGAACATTTTTAGTTCGCTCTTTTGTATGAAAACAATTAAGTACAAGAATTTTAAAATGGAAAATGCTAACCATAATCCTGGATACGATCTAACAATGCTTGAAAATTTTTAAATTTGCTTTTGCACTGTCATTTGAGTTTGAAATCTGTAGTAGTTATCTGTTAGAATTAATCTGAATTTGAATATTCAATTTTTTGCTCTGTACAGAATCAATTTATGTAATTAATAGTTTCAACAGTATATAATTCACGAAAATACAAAAAAACAGTCATACTAAGCCAGCGATACTGGGAATATCAATGTATAGCCCTGGAATTAGCAATGAACAAACGAGGGGATTTAACAGCATCATTAGGATAAGATTAGTCCCTTCAACTGAACTACCACAATATTCTCTTATCATTAATGTCTGAATAACCGTGAAATTCAAGTATATCGAAATTCTCATATATCGATAAGTGGCAGCTTCGATCATTACATGACTCCACCGTATTATTGCTGATACGAAGGAAAAAATGGAGAGATAATAAAATGATTACGTAATTAGCGGATCTTCGTTATTCATAATTTTTGTTAGTATTACATAATAGTATTTTGAAAGGCAACCCAATCAGAGCAGCAACGCTAGCGGCAAAGAGAACTCCCTACGCCAATTCTCAAAAAAGAAGAATTTCTCTATACCTGCTATTTTTTTTCTCTGTAGGCACTTCTACCAGATTACCCTTTTGAGAACACTCATCTCTGCGTTTTGCAACCCAATCCCAACAAAAATAAAAAAGTGAGCCCACAACGTTTTTCTGCACCTTTCGGGGTTCACATGAGGCACCTTTTGGCCCTTCCAGCTTCTTGTAGACCCTCTCTCCATAGGAATATCTGTGCAAAATTGCTCCCTGTCATTCTCCTCAAAAATGTAAGGAACATGCAAAACGTGCACATATACTTCCGATATCAGCAAAAATGATCTGTCAGAAAAGCAGGTAGAGAGAGCTGTTAGGAAAGTAAATAAACCAGGAAAAGTGAAAACGCGTAGGTAACTGTTCTGGGGTTCTTTCGGTTTGTCAATCTGCTATAGTCATTGAATACATCATTATCACGTGAATATGAGCATCCTCTACATAAGCTTTAGGGCTAGCTACGGCTCCTTTTCTGTTTTGGAATTAGGGTTTTATCATTTTAATAGGGTATAGAATAGGGTTACTATATTGAATGTGTCCCACACAAATACTCCTATAATTTTCTTTTAACCGTAATAACAAGCAAATCACAACATTCTAAACAATATTTATTCTTGGTTAGTGTATGGAATTATATTCTGCAGACCATAAGGAGCAGCAGAGGCGTTAATAATTAACCTGTCTGGAATTAGTAAGATTATCAATTGCTGTTGCTACCAAATATAAGTTGCTCTTTCAATTTGAATACCAAATAAGGGATCAGTTTTTGATGCCTCCATTAACTAAGGGCACTTACACTAATTTTGATTATTGAGTTTCTTTTAAAATGCAGAACATATTTTTCCAATTATTTATAATACTATTCACAATAGTACGAGTCTACAGTGAGGAAATATACCCAGACCCTCTATCGAGCAATGACTTTTATTCACTGATAAAGGATGGAAACCTTCATCTAATAGAGTTTTATAGTCCTTATTGTTCCTATTGTAATCATTTGGCTCCGACTTGGAAAAAGACCTGGGAGAAAGCCCAAGAGATAAATTTACTTGCTAATTATAACGTCACACTGGATAGAGTTAATTGTATAGAAAATGGTGATCTATGCTATGATGAGAAGATCGACTATTTCCCTAGCTTTAGGTTGTATGGGCCTTCTGGCTTCATCAAATACTATCCCGAGGATGATAAGAAGACTGTTAATGAGTTCTTAAAATTTGTGAAGCAGGCCTCAAAGGATAAGACGAATTTCCAGGAAAAAGGTCAGAAAGATAAAAGTCTGGCATTAACAGAATTAGCCTTTAACGAATTGCTGAATGATCCAAACCTTAACCATCCATATCTAATATCCTTTTGGCCAACAAAACAATTGATCAGCACAGATGATGATATTGATTTTGAAAATTGTTATGAATGTTTGCCATTCCAAAGATCTTGGAATCTGCTATCAAATACCTTAGATGAGAAAAACATTAAGACTGCACATGTGAATTGTGAAAGTGCAGTGAATCTATGTAAAGCAATGGGTTATAAAGATTTGACAGAGATTAAGAACCATAGAGGTGATAGGATGGCCAAAGTTGCCCTGCTCGTACCTGGTAGACCACATTCCAAGAATAAGGTCATTAGATACAATGAAGAATACTTTACTGACTATTTAAAGGTCAAGGATTTTGCAATTAGAGGAGTTGAAAATGCAAAGGTACCTGATTTCAACTCAAATTATATTAGTAATTACCCAGTAATTGATGTTACTAGCTATTTCGAACCAGAATCTACAGATTTGGAGTCCTTTGTTATATACGTCAATGATAGATTAGATGAAAGTGATGATCAGCTTCTGGATAGTCTAATTGAAGTTGTGAGTAACGCAGAACGTACTACACTTTATAAGGCTAATGTAGAAGATTTTTACGCCGCAATGGGGCCAGAGCTAGAAAATTTCTATGGGAAATATTACAATGACAAAGAATACACATTCAAAGATCTAATTCAACTGAAGCTATCCACAAATTTACCTGCCATTTACTATATTCAAAAGGGTCAAATAAAAACATCTATTTTTCCTGTGAAAAAATCCTTGTCTAATGATAAATTCACTAAAGGTGTTCAAAAGTGGCTTAACTTATTTAATATTCCTTTATTGACCGACATTACTTCTTGGAAATTTAGTAAGCTAATGAACTATGATAAAAGCAATCATAGGTTTATATTAACCGAGCTAGTTGATACATCATTAATAGGTGTTGATAAAGAAATTGATTCCAAACTGCAAAAATACCATGAACTTCAGAATATTTATGAGATTGAAGTGGATAATTGGTATTTGAGGCAAAACTCTCTGCCTGAAGGACAGGAACAAAGGAAAATAGCGATTGGAAAATTAAGAGATAAACGTAAAGCAGGTTTGATTACTACATTTCTGGACATTTCCGAAGCAAAATCCTTTGCAACAAGAAATGGTCTTGTTAGTTCAAGTAGGCAATATGAAATTGGTGACGTGATTATCATTGATAGGGCTTCTGGATATGTTTACAATAGTTACAATGATGGAGAGTCAATATCAGTTACGAACACGAATAAAATACTGCATGCTCTATTATCTGCACAATTTAGTATTCCCGCGGACACCAAATTTGCAGGTAGATTGCTAGGCTCGCCATTCCCTGGACCATTGAAATTCATGGATACGATACACCAATATGGTGTATTTGGTTATATTACCATACTAGTTCTGATTGCTCTGCTGTGGAACTTGAAAAGAATTCTGAAGTTGACGAAAAGGCCAGCTAGTGTATCCAATGGGATTCAAAAAGACGGTAAATATTACTAACATAGCCATTATTGTGTATATAGATATTAATTAGTATTAGATACAATGACTAACTTTCATAATAATTTCATTAGTAGAGGATCTATAATTTACGTTATTTCTGGTGCTATTATTGATTTAGTATCTGCTTTGTAAGAATCTCTTGCTATTACTGGCTTGGCGTCAAGTGCAACTGACGGTTGTGCCCGTTGTTTTATCATTGGTAATATCAGTGTTGGGTTTTTTATTTTTACATTCGAGTTTATTATTGATCTTGAGCTATTGTCGGTGTTTTTGGCTTTATCAACTGGAATAGGATTTTGTGCCTTTTCAATGCTAAAGCTTAGAGATGACAATTTCGATTGTTGTTCTTCTATGTCGGGTGAATTGTCCTCATCGGATGCAGGTAATGTGACATCAGTCGTTATTTTCGAGTTATCCTTACTAGTTTTGTCACTATTTTGACCTTTATTGTAATTTTTGTGAATAAGATCATATAGCAATGGATAATGTCGCTTTGTGATTATGCTGCTATTAAAAAGACTGTCGCCGTCCAAAGAAGACGTGGAATCAAAGCTTATCATATTTTGAATTACCATATCTAGACCATTTTCTATTGTTTCGATATTACTAGCAAGTTCATTTACGTCATTTTTATACTTTAGAAATAAATCTGAAGTACCTTCATCATTCTGTCTGTTTCTCCTGTGTTTCAATAATTTGTGGTAATGCTGATTTATAGATTTGAATGAAGATTTGAGTTTTTTTTCTATCTGGTCAGTTTGTTCTATCTCTTCATTTATATCCTTCAATATATTCTCATTAACATGGGTGATATCAGTTTTCACTTGTTCCCATTCACTTGATACCGACTTGAATATAGCCTTGTATGAAAGTTGACTTGATTGAGGTAGCTTTTCCAAAGCTAAAAGCTCTTTATATTCAGACGCTTCAGCTACGGTGATAAGTGGTTTATTGTCCATGTCTTTCCACCTTCCAAATGCTGATATCTATCTGTATTCTACTTTGAGGTTCAACTAGACTGTTCTATGTGGGAAGGACTGTTTAATGTTCAATATATATGTCTGAGCTCTAAATTTGTGGATGGAAGTAATGGCAATCCTTAAGTAGCAGTTGTTCCGAGACTATATGCATGCAACTACAATGGACTTGGTATCAATCGTGTTTTTAACTTCTTAATGCCCCCATTATTGTGCCTGGGCTGACTCGATGATCCAAAATTGTTATGACATTTTTCAGTGAAAAAAAATGAAAATTGGCAATAATAAAGACCAGTATTGTAACTTATTTAGACTTTGAGATACGAAATATGGTATTGCTAATAAGATAACTACAGATTAGAAAGAGCAAGTTGCTTTGACTTTAGATAGATTAATTGGTAGCAGTAAACTCAGCAAGGTAATTGATAGCAGTTTCAAAAAGAAAAATGGATCAAAAGACAAATGCATTTCAGATAAAATACAATGACTACAAGCAAACTCTAGAGACGCTTCAAGCCAAGATAATAGAGTTGGGACATGACAAAGATGAACATGATGTTGTTTTGTCGACTTTGAAGAATACAGATGAAAACAGGAAGTGTTATAGAATGATAAACAGTGCTCTAGTGGAGACTGATGTGAAGACTACCATTCCGATCCTAAGTACAAAAAGGGCCAATCTAGAAGAAGCCATTGAAAAGATGAAGGCGGAACTAATAAAAACTGCTGAGGAATTCGAAAAATGGAAGAAGGACAACAAGATTCAAGTTGTTAAGCAATAATAACCAATAGATAAACCTGAAATCTAAATTACAATTTCACAATTGGAGTTTTCCCACCAATTGTCTGCATACTTTATTCTATAATTATACAAAAACTTTAATAGTTACATTCAAATATCTCACTTTTTGAATACATATCGACAGCGATGGCCAAATAAGTATCTAAAATTTCCTTAGGGTTTAACGGTAAATTTAAATGTATTTATATTGATTTATACACGATAATAATACTGTTCGTACTCGACAAAGTATTGCATAATGTCAAATAGCTCTAGCATTAACTCATTCAGTCTTTTTCTCGACAGACACAGTGGTGTCTTTCTTCGAGGAGACTACAAATAGTACTACGAAGGCAATCCAAACTAGCATAGTACCGTAGATTGCACTTAGATAGACCCAAGAGTTGGAAATAGTCCAACTTCTTGGATATTCATCGTTAGCTAGATGACGGATAGCTCTGACATCAGATTCGTGCACAAAAGACAAACCAGGTCTCTTGTAGTCAGTTAAGAAGGTGAACATACCGTGACGGTCTGGTAGTTTAAATACGCCTGTGGTGTAGATAATGGAATCGTTTGTTCTATTGATTGGTTCCATAGTTATACGGTAGTATGGGTCTACTTGTCTTAGTTCAAATTGAATATCTTCTCTCTCAAATGGGACCCATTTCTCACCGTTCCATTCACTAAAGGAGATCTCGTAAACGATCTCATCAGTCACTTTGTAAGGCTTTTCATCATACGTCAATCCATTCACATGTGAGTGGGATACTTTGCTTGTTTTAATGACGGCCTTCTCACCGAAAACCCATCTGGTTATTTCATTCAAGAATTTGGCATTGGTATCAAAGTTCTCATTTAGGAAAGCGTCACTGCTACCAATCCACAAGGAGCGAGCATTTTTATAGTTTTGATGACCGACTACAGAAAAACCTTGAGGGCCAGTAGACCAAATATCGTCCTTTGCATTGATAACATAAGATTTTCTACCAGCTGGAATAACTGGAATAACCAATTCGTTACCTTCTAGCAATGCAGTTGTACTTTCTCCAAAAATGACTTCCTCGGCAGACGTAGATTGGTAGACTTCCTTATTGACAGAGACAAGTGGTAATCTCAAAGCTTGGGATTCATCTTGGAAGTTATCAACGGTGGTATAACCCTTTGCTGGTAAGTGTACACCCAATTGAGCCCAAAATAGACGAATGGCCTCGGTGGCTGACTTTGGAGAATACAGAGTCATGATATTACCGCCATTTTCGTAGAAGTTCAAAAGATGGTTCATGGATAGACGCTTATTCAGACTCTTAGTGGTAGCTGGGAAAACTATCAAGTGATCATATTTCTTCTCCCCGGCGTCAAATAGCTCCACATTAACGGATTTATCACTGATTTCGATGACATCAACGGTCAATTGATGACCTTTTAGACTATCCAAATAATCAGAGTAGTTCTCTATATCATTTTGACGTTGATCGTAAACCACTAAGGTACGTCCACCGTTAATACTGGCAGCTCTTGCCAAGGTGGATAGAAGGGCCAGAAACAGGTTAATGAACAGTAGTTTCATGTCAAAAATCTTTCAAAGTATACAACTTCTCTTTCAAAGATCGAACAATTGAGACTGTGTATGAAAAAAAGGGAAATGAAATAAGTTCTCTATTTTTTAACTGTCTCGATTCTAATGAGTTTGCCTTCACCTTTTGAAAGTACAGTTCTCGTTGGGCCTATTTTTCAGCACTGTAGAAAGCTCTCAAATTAGACAGGAATGTGTTCCGATCGGTTCAATTGCTTCTGGGTAATTGGAATTGTAACCACTAAATATGAAACTATAATCTACTTTATGGCTACTGTACCCAAGGAAAGGCTTGCATTCATTGAATTGTGATTCCCACTGGTGATTGACGTTGGCAGCCTTTGCTGTTCCCAAGTTTCATTCAGAGAGGGCGACTTTGTTGTCTCGTAGCTAATTATGTAATGATTGGCACTAATATCGAAGTGGCTTCCCAGCAATTGCTGTGCTTTATATTATATTACTTGATATGTTGAAGTAGAGCTGGCTGTAGGAAGCTGTAGTGGTGTTGAAAAGCTTAGAGGTGGTTAGTATGACTGTCTGAATTTTTGTTAGCTATAGTTTTTGGCACTTGATTTAGTTTGTTTGTAACAGCTTGCTATTACATGGAAAATTGGATTTTATTAAATTAAATATTACTTACAATATAGACTAATGATGAGGACCTTGATTCATTATATAAACATCCACACCTTATCCTAGCCATTCTCTTGTAGTAGTCCAGAGAGGGCTATCTTCGTGGGACTAGTGAGTCTGATACAATATAGTATCCTCTCCAATGTTGCCTGAAAAGGTAGTCAAAAAGTTATAAGCTTGTGAAAACTTATTTCTTGTGAACATCTGGCAACCAGGATTCGTCAATCTTGGCTGGAATTGCTTCCTTCTTCTTAATCTTCTTTGGTGGAGCGACGACGTTGGAGTAGAGGTATACAGTACCACCAACCAAAGCGATGAGGACGGCGATGATGGACAAGAAGCTTGGGTCAAAGATAGAGATGGATTGGTTAATCAAGTCCAACTTGAATGTGTTGGACATGACTCTCTTGACTTCATTCTTGTCCTTGACGTGCAGCAATGGCAAAATGTAGTATCTACCCTCAGTCAAGTTCATGTCGATCTTGTGTCTTAGAGTGCCAGTTGCATTTGGAGCCAACACAATTTCAGTGATATTAGTCTCGGTCAAGTTTGCAACGTTTCTTTGATCTACCTCAGACAAGACAGCACCGGAAACACCGACGATACTGTAGGTCTCCTCCTGGTCCAGGTTATGGATTGTGTAGTTCAAAGTGGCAGTTTCACCAACTTCAAATACTATGAAGTCCTGCAAATCGGCAAAGGGTTCCTCCAGCAAGTCGTAGTTGACTTGCAAGTTGATCATCTCCCTCTGCTGCTGGGCACCCCCCATTTTCTCCTTAGCAGCCATATAGGCTTCGGCCTCTTCCATGGTCATGTCCTGGCCTTCGATGTTGACCATCACATCCTCAGCGTTGGCTTCTTCTTGAGCCAACACATTGCTGACACCAGCCATAAGCGTCATCAAACCAATATGCAAGAACTTCATTTTTTTTTCAGTTGTTCTATTTGTACTCAATTGTTCAAAAAGGGTACCTTTCTTTCTTGATATGTAGGTGCCTATTCGCAGAAAACTCAATTTCTACAACCTAGAATCCAGTAGTCGAGAACCTCTTGCTATTGTCACATATATATATGCATCATATGTTGGAAGGACCACCCCATGCTGCCATTACTGTTCGACCTCGACGATCCAACAAAGGGACCCAGCAAAAGTTCCAAGTGACAAAGAACCCTTGATACGTCAGCAGGACAATATCTGAGGTAAATCACTTCGCTGGTCAAATCTCTCGAGGATTGTCACAAAGCAATGGAAAACTGTCAAAATGATCGTCTTGGCTATGCGTTCGTGCAGTTGCTTCTTAGTTTCAGGCTATCCGAAAGTAGCGAGGCGATATCTTTCACTGCGAATTGCCATACCATGCTGCTATAACTGTGATTCTCTCTCATATTAACTATTGAAACAAGTATTAAGCTATAAATATAAACATCGAATTGCGATGTCCACTATGGTCGTTCAATATTCTATATAAAATAAAGTATCGTGCAAATTGTGGGGAGTTAAAAGTACTGGAAAGTGTGTCTAGGCCTATTATTCTAAGAATTCCATTTGTACATTATTATATGGTGTTGTCTGGGATGACTTTTTCCTTTGTCAAGTAATCATAAATGATGGCAGCGCATTCCTCGATGGACTTCTCGTTGGTTCTCAAGTGCAGTTCTGGTGAGGCCGGCTCCTCATATGGCGCAGAGATACCGGTGAAATCCTTGATGATGCCCTGTCTGGCCTTCTTGTACAGGCCCTTTGGGTCTCTTTGCTCGGCGACTTCCAATGGGACGTCTACAAACACTTCGATGAATCTGAGACCCGCCTCTTTGTGCAGTTCTCTTGCTTTGTCTCTGTCTGTGCGGTATGGCGAGATGAAAGATGTGATCGATATGGTGCATGAGTCAGCAAACAACTTGGACACCTCGCTGATTCTCCTGATGTTCTCGTTACGGTCCGCCTCAGAGAACCCCAGGTCCTTGTTCAAGCCAAACCTGATATTGTCACCGTCCAGCCTGTACGCAGACAACCCTTTCTGCAAAAGCAATTGCTCCAGAGCACACGCTATGGTACTCTTACCGGACGCACTCAGACCAGTCAGCCAAACGGTACACCCGTCCTGCTTCCTCAACGCCTTCCGCTCGTCGTAACTCAAGTTAGCATGCCAAGTAATATTCGTAGCCTTAGTAACAGTCATCGCGTTCTCGGTTGTCCTCTCTCCACTCAGTGTACTACTGTTCTGTCATAGACTACTACAAATTCTAAATAGCTTTACAGCTTAGAACAAGAAGAGACGGTCCGCCATTAATGCCTGTGCTATTTATACTAGTAGGAACCAAACTGTGGATGGGACTAGTCTTGATAACTGTGTTCCCAGAAGCTGGTTTTGACCAGACTCGTTCGACCAGAAACTCAAGAACCCACCGCTCGCCGAGAGACATAACATCAGCATCTGTGGCTTCCCTCCATCCCCATAGGAAGCTGCAATAGCAAATATACACTACGACGCACTTTCGCAAGCCACTCTGGGGCTATGCGCACTATTAGTCTGACTGTGTGATTGAAGACTGTATTAAGCATTAGATGGTAGTAATCACGTGGTGTGTCTTCCTTCGGTTCCAAAAGAAATCGAAAAATCAAAACCACAGTTCTATGTCACGTGGAGATTCCTTGTTCACCTGTGATATAGCCAAATTGCTGTATGTAGGAGACGTTTTAGCATATGTTGCGGAGCAAGGGACAAGTTGCAGTTTATAGTTGTGCTATCTTTTTTACTTCTCTAATAAACTTTTTATATAAAGTACAGGATAGTGCTAATCTGTGTGTGGGGCGGTTGGACATCAGACGGAGGTGACGATTTGGCTTGCGTTTTTCAGGATTTCGATCATTCTCTGGCACTCCTTTCTTCTCTGGATGGTGATGTCGTTCTCCTTTGTCAGCTCGTCGATGTCCTGGTTGCCGTATAGCTTCTGCAGCAGCACCTTCTGCATGTCGTTCTTACTCTTGACGATCAGCTTCAGCATTAGTGCCTTAGGGACCAAGTCCGCGATGGTTCTCTTGACGATGTTGAAGTAACTGTTTATCAGTAGCTTGATCACTTCAGTCTCCATGGTCTCCCTCTCGGTCATTTGGCCAGTGGCTTTCAACACTGGAGGTGGTGACTCCAGCGCAGCAAGCTTCTTCTTGTTCTTGGTGGAGAAGAACCCGCCGAAAAAGCCAGACTTCTCTTCTACAGCAGGCATTGGCTTGGCTGGAGGTTGGTTTGGCAACGGTTTGCCGGTCTTGGGGTCAACGGCAGTTGGGCGTGGGTGCAACTTCTCCTCGACCATCGACATGGCTTGAGAACCCTTTAGCAAGTCTGGGTGGGCAGTGTTGATATACGTTTGCTCAGACTTGATGATGTCTTGCACAAACTCATTGGTTGGCACGATGGCCTCCTTCAAGTAATCGATGAATTGTGTGGAGATGGCCTCTCTTAGGGCTGGGTATCTGGCATATTTAGGTTGAGAGATGATCTGCTTCAACATACGCACCAATTCGTCAAACACCAAAGTCACTAGACGTAGTGATGGCTCTTCGAATCTTCTGATCTGTTGTTTCACTAACACTTCAAAGGCCTCAGTACCAACGAACAGTGATGGGGCAGAACCTGAACTATTGTACATGATGGTTCTGATGTCTGAGTCCTTGATTTGGTCAAATGGGTCCAAAGAGTCCACACCATTCTTGAATATCTCATGGAATACAAATGAGATTCTGGCACCACCAGATAGTTCCTGACTGGTCAACTCCTTGGCTTCACCATCTAGTATACCAGTGTACTCGTTGGAGAAATCAGTGATCATACTCAAAACGATAGAACTTGCAGAGTCCATGGTCTCTGGACCTAGACTCTCTAATTCGTTAACGTATTTCTTCAAAGTGCTCTCAATCTTGTTTTTGATATCAGGCAATGTTTGTCTAATGTGGTGCAAAAGAATAGAGTTTAGCTTCTTGGCCAAGTATGGAGTACCACAGTAATGTGCCTTAGAGCTGTAGGAAGGATGTTCCTCGAAGAATTTCTTCTCGTCCTGTAGTGCTGCTCTGATGGTTTTCTTGTGTTCGATGTCCTTCTGACCTCTGTTAATGACTGGGATGTAACCATATCTCAGTGGGATAACTCTACCGGCCAAAATATCGATCACATCTGTACCTTTATCCATCAGATCAACTTTGGTCAAAACACCAATGGTTCTCGTACCTTCTGGATCAACCTCTCTAGCCAATTTCAAACCGTCACTGTTAGCCAAATCAGTGTTTGCAGCATTGACGGATAAGATGATGGCGTTGGGCTTGGAGATATATTTCAGCAACATATCCTTGATCTGCTTTTCGATGTCAGGAGGCTGGTCACCCACTGGGACCTTGGTCAGACCTGGCAAGTCAACCAACGTCAATGTCAACACATGTGGCGAGTAAATTCTCAGGTTGATTGGGATAGGGGAGATACCCAAGTTGGTACCGGTCAGCTTATCGGTCTCCCTGACGATCTCGTTTCTAATCTCGTCGAAGTTATAGAACTTCTTGTCTGGTAAGTGCAGGAACTCACCCCACTCCTCGGCGTTATCCTCAGACTGGCCTTTCTTACCTGCAGGGTCTTCCTTCTTGCTGTGGTCGTCCATATTCAGATCGAGCAGCTGGTCAGAGGCCTTCTGCACCTCCTTGTCGCTCTTCTTAGACCTCCTGTTGATCAATTGCAGCACCAGCGGCCTTCTGGTCACGATACCAGTACCTCTGGGCAAGAAGTCCCTACCGACAATGTTCTCCAGGACAGAGGACTTACCAGAGGACTGCGACCCAACGACGGTAATCTGCGGCAAGTCAATCGGAGACTGAGAACCACCCCCAAGTGGAGCCAGCGCATCCTGCAGCTTGTTAATAGTAGCAATCAAGTGTTCATCCATTGTTATTATCAAGTATTAAATGAAAATCCTGAATTTTCCAAGGACTGGACTGTTTTTTATTATTATACCCCCTTCTAATGGTATAGCACAGAGAGTAAAAGCTCTTTTTTTGATACCTAGTACCAGCGCTTAAAAAGGAATGCGTTCCTGTCTCAGTGCCTCTAACTTATACTTCAATTACACGCTTGTGAAGGGATCAGGAAACCCAAGGCTTGCAGTGCCTCCCTCCATCCACCCCCAGGGCTTTTGGTGACGTTTCTACCACCAAGCCTAGTAAAAAATGCCTGCGGTGTGAAAATCAGAAAACCTAAAATCGAGAATCGAGAATCGAGAATCGGTTCCACCACGAGCTTCTCTCTCTTTTTGGCGTACAGAACGGGCGCGCGCGCTCTTCTTCTTCTTTATGTCCGGGTAATTATTTTTGTGGTTTCTCTTCTGTTATATTACACGAAATACCTGGTTCTTGGCACATGATTTGTGAGTAAATTACCGTTATACGTGATTACTATATCAATGTATACGTACGTGTATCACATGCATTTCCGTGTATATGTATATATCACATATCACATATAACGTTATATCACGTATACAAGTCTCGTACACTACAACAATTTCTCCTTCCCGACTCTAAAGACGAAAAAGTGATCGCGCGGGTCTCCCGGGGTTCGCCCATTGCGCTCGCATTCGCATTCGTATTCGCATTCGCAATCGCAATCGCAATCGCAATAGCATTAGCATTCAACACTATGTGGAACCAACTGCTCTAAACTAAAGTTTCAAGGCTTATATTGGCAACTGGAGGCCAGATAAGAATTACAAAGGGTGGGGAAGGAAGTCTATCTAGTTGGAAGTTACGCATTTGCCATTACTACTTTTGATTCACTTCCTTAGCATAGCAGAAACAGTTCCCAATTGGAAAAACCCAGTTTTGTGATTCTGGGAAGTTATAGCTATTTTGCCCTAAAAGACATAGATGAATTATCAGAAGGTGTATGGTATTACCGGGCCTGTGTCCATTGCTGGGCCTACTGCCGCAGAGAATAAGCTGAACGATGAGCTGATCCAGGAGTTGAAGAAAGAGAACTCGTTCGAGTCCGAGCAAGAGACCGCCAACAGAGTTAAAGTGCTGAAAACGCTGCAGGAGTTGACAGAGAAGTTCGTGTACGAGGTCTCCAAGAAGAAGAATATGTCCGATGGTATGGCGCGTGACGCCGGTGGGAAGATTTTCACCTACGGTTCCTACAGGCTCGGTGTGCATGGTCCCGGCAGCGATATAGATACATTGGTCGTGGTGCCTAAACATGTCACAAGAGAGGACTTCTTCACAGTGTTCGACGCGCTGCTGCGAGAACGTGAGGAGTTGGACGAGATCGCCCCGGTTCCGGACGCCTTCGTGCCGATCATCAAGCTGAAATTCAGCGGCATATCCATCGATTTAATCTGCGCGAAACTGGATATCGCTCAAGTAAAACCTTCTTTGACCTTGGACGACAAAGCACTGTTGAGAAACTTGGACGAGAAGGATTTGAGAGCACTGAACGGTACTAGAGTTACGGATGAAATATTAGAACTGGTCCCAAAACCAAGTGTTTTCAGAATAGCCCTTAGGGCGATCAAAATATGGGCCCAAAGAAGAGCAATATACGCTAACGTGTTCGGTTTCCCAGGTGGTGTGGCATGGGCTATGCTCGTCGCAAGAATATGTCAACTATATCCAAATGCTTGTAGCGCCGTGATACTGAACAGATTCTTCAAAATTCTTTCAGAATGGAAGTGGCCGCAGCCTGTTATCCTGAAGCCAATAGAAGATGGTCCTTTGCAAGTACGTGTATGGAATCCAAAAATTTATGCGCAGGATAGATCTCATCGTATGCCAGTTATCACACCAGCTTACCCATCAATGTGTGCTACACATAATATAACAGAGTCTACGAAAGCCGTTATCTTGAAAGAACTGAACAGGGGTATCCAGGTTACTAATGATATTTTTGCATATAAAAAGACGTGGGCGGACCTCTTCACGAAACATGATTTCTTCTTTCAGTATAAATATTATTTAACTATAACAGCTGCTACTAGAGGCGATGATGAAGAACATTTGAAGTGGAGCGGTCTTGTGGAAAGTAAGTTGAGATTACTGACTTTAAAATTGGAAACGATTCCGGGCATTAAACTAGCACACCCTTTTTTTAAACCTTTTGAGGCAGCGTATTGTTACACAGATGACCAAGATGCTAAGACAATATTAAACAACCACGGTTCACACATTACAGAAAAGGCACTCGAAAAATTCACAAAAGTTACTGATGAAAATAAGGATGATGAAGATGTTAAGAGTAAGAAAAAGGTACATATAACAACAATGTACGTTGGTTTAGGAGTGTCTGTGGAAAACAAGAAGGAAAAGATCGATATGCACATTCCTTGTGGTGAATTTTTCAATCTTTGTAGAAATTTCCACGAATCATATCAAAACCCGGAAGTCTATTCATTGGTTATCAGATATCTCAAGTCTTATGAACTTCCAGATGATGTCTTTGGTGAAGATGAACAAAGGCCGACAAAAAAATTGAGCAAGAAGAGAAAAGAAGCCAAATATGACGAAGAAGCGGCTAAAAGATCAAAAGCTGAGACAATAAGTAAATCAGCAGTAAGTGAAGCTACTACTGTTTCTTCTGCCTGAGAGCTTACTGAGCTTATATATATTCTGAGAGGCATGGAGTCTCCTTATATCGCAGCATATACACACTAGATATTAAATGCATTACTAATAATAATTATTAAGAAGTTAATAGCTTATTAAAGAATTTAAGTTGGTCACTTGTTGTAGTAGTTTGACCATTGGAAGTTAATATCATATGACCACCTCGTTAAACATAAGGAGTTTATCTAGCAAAGTCTTTTTGTAAGCTATATGCATGAACAATTGTCTACTAAGTATGTTTGTATCATTCTTGTCGAACATGGGTTGCCTATGAAAGAACTTTATTGTATCGTTCTGAGCCTCATACTGATTAATTTCCTGTTTCCATTTCACAAATATGTCATGTAGAGGACAGCCGCGCATATGCTTTGTTGCTGCCAACACTAGTGCAAAGGGGGACCATTCAGGGCATTGCAATATATCTATACGGTTGATGACACTCCTGACCTCCTTCTCCACAAATTCTTGCTCCAGCGGCTGACTCTTATGATCTAGACTATCAGTTAAGCAGTTTTCAGCTAGGAATTTTTCATGTGAATCATCAATTGGTAATAACATAAACATAAACGCAGACCAAGCTGCAGAGTCCTTGAAATGGGTATTACAAAAATACCTTGTCCTGGTTAGTAGGCTTGATCGTTCTTCTATCGTGGTATTAATATAGTACCATCTTGCAAAATTCCATGCGTAATAATTAGAAAAGTGATTCTCTGCAGATTTGATTAGCGTTGTATTCACATTGAAAGTAATGGTTTTATTGAATTGGATGTAGAGCTTCTTATACAGTAACCACAATGATGACGATTTGTTAATACGATTATTTGTACAACTGAGAAGTCTCTGCAAGTACACAACTTCTCGTTGTAGTGCCTTAGTATCATCAGCACAAAGCTCGAGTAAGCATTTATAATGTAGATTAATGATGGTCTTATTCTCGGGAGTGGTTAAAAGCAACCCAACAGTTGCTAAGTAAGTGTCATTGTTAACAATATATTGACTAATAGCTTTTCAATTCTGGTTAGTAAAATAAATTCATTTATAATGAAACTGACCATTGACAAAACTTGACTACATACCACTATCAATTGAGCTGAAGTAATCGTGTGCTTCTTTGAAAATAAGTAGATATGTTTTCTTGAAACAAATAATCTCCTTGTCTGCATCGGTGTAATATCTCGAGTCAATGCCCGGTTGGTTCGGTGTAAAGCTTAGTTTAACATCACTGTTATCTGGGAATTCAGTAACGGTGGCTAATAACTCGTTGCATAGTGGAAGCATTAGCTTATTTTACACATTTGTGCTATCTACTAATATTTATTAGAAAAGTAATAATCCAATTTCAAATGTTTTCTATTATTTATTCTTTCAATATCAATATTTCATTTTCAAGTTGCTGCATCACTGACAAAACATAAAATTCATAAAATTTAAGATAAAGTATTGTAGAATATGTCAAAAGTTAATATTTTAAATTATGATATGTACTTGAGATAAAAATGATTAATATATACATGGCAACAGGACTGGAAAGTCTTATGTTTTGGAGAAATCTCATGACTAAAAGCGGCTAATGCAAACAGTATTTACAAATGTTTTCCATCCTCAACTGTTCCTTGCTTCTTCCAATACTCTTCTTGTTTGTTCTTCTTCGAGATCTCTAACCGTTTTCAACAGCGTCTTTAGCTTCTGTTTACGTTCTCTAACTGGTACAGAATTGTCTACAACTCTCACATTGGGTGCGGAATAAGTATCTTGAGTCAGATGAATGGCATCTGGTTCTGAAGACTTGTATCTTGCCAACTTTCCAGAGAAAATATTATCGATGAAATATCTTTGGATATCTGAAGGCGACTTTAATATCGTCAATTCATAATCAGGTATAATATAACCAGTTTTGATCTGGAGGCTCTTCGCAAAAGCAAACCTTGATTGTATATCAGTGAATGCTCCCTCGGCGGAGTCAATACCAGCGTTCTTGCTCGCCTCGGCTATGATTCGATTCAAAGATTCCAAAGACTTAACTTTATCATCGGAAAGCCATTTATTAATCTCAATAGTTTCGAACAACTCCTTCTCTCTTTGTTTCTTCAGCTCCAGTTTAGTTATACCAATGAAATTGTCAGGTATTAGCTCCAACTTCACTTTCGCACTGGTGGTTTCCTCCAAGGAGTCAACTTTACCTTGCTCCACAGCTTCCATAACCTCTTGAACAGGCTTAGCCTTAACTTTTGTCTCCTGTTTCTTCTTGGCAAACCAGGAAAAGAAATCCTGATTCACCTTGGTGGTATGCAAGAACCGTCTCCCAGCGACAGCAGAGTAACCGCTTCTAATCATCGTTTCTATCAATACACTCTTCCGTAACTCTAACCAACCGTAGAGAATACCTGCAACTTTTTATTAGCTGTTCTAAAGATTGATATTTTCTTTATAGTCTTCCAAGAGCTTTTATTGTTCAACTTCCCTCGACTTTTGCGGTTTTTGACAATTTCAAGGACAGAAAATCCAAAAAATCATAGAAAAGACGTCTAATGGAGGGCAACTATAAGAATTGTTGGTAGGGAAAGCAGATAGTATACAGTGTTGATCGCATACAATCTAAAAACTTTTATTTAAGTGATTTGCTAAGAAGATGGGTATTTTGCTGAGTTGTTGCAAAGAGCGGGAACCGGAGGAAGAGCCCCTTATAGCGTCGAATCAGAGAGGGTATGGTGGTGAAGGAGCTGGCAATTTCGAAGAGTACAGTGATCTACAGAGGCTGAAACGAGAGGAAGAGAACAAACTCATGGCTAGAGAACAGCAACTTCGGGATATAGTAAGTGACACGAACGATAAGCTGATTGACATTTCGATGATCAGCAACAGTGGAATAGTGACTCACGGCAGGGATGTAAGCACTGCAAATAACGATACTTCTGAAGGAAATATAAGCGAGCAAGAAGCACAGCGGTCTAGCCAAATAGATGCCAAATCAACAGCGGCAGTTTACACCCCACTTGACGCTAACTCAGCATCCAGATACACCGTCACACAACTTCGGAGTGCACACAGTGTACTATTTGACCAATTGCAATCTGAACTGGAAGTAAGACCTACAGGAGATCTTGTGGTTAATCTATAGGATTCTAGGGACAATTTCTTCTAATCATGGTAGAAATCTGACATCACTTGACAGGCAGCATGTTCAAAACTAGTTGCAGAATGGCCCACAGTTTTTGCGTCAATCTTTGTCGTCACAAATACCGGAACCTACAGAAAGGATAATATATTAAGCATAATCACAAATGAATCCATGCATTTTGTAACATATCTATATAACTACACAGTGGCCCGTTTATCACATAAAATATAAACTACATACAGCCAATATCCATATATTCATAACATGTGACGATCGGCCTAACACCAGCTAGCGTTGAATACAGGTCGAATTGCATAATAAAAGCACCCCCAATAAGCTTTCTACAAGTCAGCTTCATTAGTCTTCAGTTCAGCTAACATAAAGGCATTGGCATAAAGCAGGTAACTAATTACTTTATTGGGAGTGCTACTACAACCTAGTTAAGGAGAAATTTGTTATTAAAACGATGGTATTTAAGAAAAGAAAGATCGAGGAAGAAGAAGAACACGAAACTGATACCAAATACACACCAGGTAAGCATCCTCGGACTCAAGCATCTTTACCACGGGTTGATTATGAATCTCCTTTAGATCCAGAGAATGAGCTGTTTGTGGAGGAGTGGAATATACCAAAGATTAATAACTACATAAGCTACATGCTTGACACATTGATCGAAACACATAAGAACTTAGTGAAGGACTTCATAAAATTACCCAGCCGGAAGTTTCACCCTCAATATTACTATAAGATAGAGAAACCAATATCAATAAATGAAATCAAATCCAGAGATTACGAAACTAATGATGGAAACTTGGCGTTTTTGCTCGATGTAGAGTTGATCGCTAAGAATTGTGTATCATATAATGAGGAAGATACCCTAATTGTGAAAAACTCTGAGCAGGTTGTTAATCTGATTGAGGCCGAAGTTTTGAAGACCAAGAATATGAATAGAAATTATTTATTAAACGATTCATTGAAAAAGAGAGCAACAAAATACCTTGATCTGTTGCTAGATTGTACTGATAAAGATATAGAAGAAGCATTTAATAGACCTACTAAAGGTGTTGATAGTAAGATGAAGATATGTGGACCTTTCAGAGAAATGGTTAATAAAGATGATTTGCCAGAGTACTATGAAATAATTCAAAATCCTATTTCATTGGATGTTATAGCCACCAACATTACAATCGGAAAATACAAGCAATTGTATGACTTTATAACAGATGTTCAGTTGGTTTTTTTGAATGCTCGGGTTTACAATGATGTGAACACACTGATTTACCAAGATGCAACAAGAATTTTGCATTATTTTAACTACCTCATAAACAATAAACTTTTTGCAGAACTGCAAGATGCTACAGAACGTGGTGAACTTAACTTGGAGCTCGATCCTGTTGGTTATGAACATATGATTAATGAACCTAGTTCGAACACCAACAGTCTCAATTTATTAGATAATGACGATATGGGCGAGACTGACAATTTAGAAGGACTCGGTAATGGCTACAATAGATCAATTATGTCAGAAGACTTTTTATTGGGACCTATGAACGACCGCAATGAGTCCAATAACAATGAAGATGAGGAAGATGACGCTGAAGCCAAAGTTCCTAAATATAATATCATAAAGTCATTGCAAAAAGATGTGATATCAAACCAGTATACAATGGCAAAGAAACCTTTTGAAATCATAAAGCAGATAGAAATATTCTCGACACTCAGGAGCTTCAAACAAGCCGTGGATCCACTACCTGGTTCAAAACCGTCTACAAACCCTGATTGGTTCCAATACATATTTAAAGGCAATCAAATGAGCCAAAATGAAAATATGTACTCGCTGTCTCTTCAACCTATACATACACAAGTTACAATCGCTGCTGATACCACCAAATCAGGAATTAAAATTAGTTTAGTTTTAAACAGAATGCTAGTCAAATCAAGAAAGATGATAATAAATGAGAGAAATTTAATGCATTTACAATCAGAAGTTAAGCCAGATCTTAGCGGACTTGTGGGTGAAAGAGAAGAGTTTGATATTAGACTATCAGAAGGTCTCAACATGTTAGAGTTAAGATGTATCGATACAGCCCAAAGTCAAGAAGAAGTCGTCAAACTTTGGATTAATATTTTTGCTTGAAGTGATACTTACATCATCTGTCAATTTTTATAATCTTAAGTTCCTAAAACCTCTTTGTAATATTAATTAATAAACAAATTTGAATGAATTTAATTTGTATTTTTGATAAAATGACCAAGCAGATCTTCTGACATACTTGTCTTATAAAATTGAGTATGCCAAGGATGTAAAATATAGAGCAATAATGAAGTAAGTACGTAAATGTAATAGAATATTATCATAAAATCATATCAGAATATAAACGAAATGTACATATGTAATAAAAAGCTAGCTGCAACAATATCACTTTCAGTAACAATTGCCAATTAAGTACTAAAGTTTGGCGACGGGTCCCACTAGTTTGACAGCAGCATTATCTAGAACAATCTTTTTAGTGTTCAAATCTACAGTCTGGAAGATAACAACATTGTTGGGTTGCTTCCAAGCTCTAACTTTCAGAGTATCACCTGGGAAAACAGCGTTGGTAAACCTAACTTTTAATTCTTCATATGGACCGAACTTTTCCAAAACAGCCTTTGAAGAAACACCCAATGTACACAAGCCATGGATGATTGGAGATGGGAAACCAACTTGCTTAGCCAGTGCTGGGTCAATATGTAACGGATTGAAATCGCCAGAAAGTCTGTAAATGGCAGCTTGGTCTTTATGAGTTTGGACTTCCACTTCGTAGTCAGGGGCTCTGTCAGTAGGTGCCTGGAAACTTTGGACGGCAAATGGAGCACGAGGTTCATTGTACTTCTTTTTGTTAGGTGGTACATGGGCGCCACGAACAAAGAAAGTACTTTCGTTATATGACACCAACTTATTGGTTTTAGCATCAACACTCTTATAACCGGCCACAATAACAGCAGCCTTCCCACCTTTGTCAATAACTTGAAGTGGTTTGACCTCAGTTTTCAATGCACCTTTCACTGGAATAGGATTTTGGCCGATCTTGAAGTATTGCTCACCGTGCAATAACATAGCGTAGTTAAAGTTGTCAACAAGGGTATCCATAGCCAGAGGAGGAGAATTAAAGACAGGCATAACTGCAAATGTAGGTAGAACTTGGAAATTAGAGTCATTTTCGTAAGTGTACTTCAATTCCTTACTAGTAGCACCAAGACCGATGTTGTAGAGAATAACATCCTTATGGTTGTACTCAAACACATCTTTAGCGGTTGCAGCTGCAGCTTGGGCTTTTTGAACAGCTTGTAAAATACCCATAGAGGACTGTTCAGTAGAAGCTGGGTTAGTTGTGTGACCGGAGAAGTTCACTACTTGTTTCCAGTTCTCCTTGAGAGCTTCAGGAGTGACATTGTCCTCCAGACAGACGTAACCAGCAGCTCTCTGCCATCTAGTCTGGCCGACCCAACCACCACCAACTTCAAACAACTGGCCGTTGACTCCCTTTTTGTTAGTCCTCTGTAATTCATCACTTGCTAGTAAAACAACTAAAGGAGACACTTGTGAAGCATCAAAATGGTTAGCTAGTTCCTTTTCGCTAAAAATTGTCTTAGTCATAGCAGTCTCAGCATGAGGAGCAATTATGTTAACTCTAATACCTCTCTTGGCACCTTCTACAGCAATGGTTCTTGAGAAACCTAGAATTGCCGCCTTGGCGGCAGCATAGTTTGCTTGTCCGAAGTTACCGTAAATACCAGAAGTGGATGTAGTGTTGATGATATGGCCACCTTTTTGCTTCAAGAAGATGGGCCAAACTGCTTTTGAAAGCAGGAATGTTGAGTACAAATGAACTTGCACAACTGCAAACCATTCCTGATCCGTCATTTTCAAGAATGATCTATCACGCAAGATACCAGCGTTATTGACCAAGACATCTACTCTTCCATAAGCCTTCATTGCTGTTTCAATGACCTGATTAGCCTCAGTAACGACATTATGAGTATCTGGGATGGCTCTTCCTTCGCCATATTTAGAGTTTATCTCATTGACGACTGTATTTGGATCCTTGATATCATTCACAACAACTCTAGCACCATATTTAGCAAACCATAACGCGTGTGATTTACCCAAACCTCCACCAGCACCAGTGATTATGACAACTTTATCCTTCAATGAAGTTATCTTGATGCTTCCTTGGTCGTTATTTTCTGGTAATTTCTTGGCCTTGGTAATCAGATCATTGTAATCAGAAAGCATGATTGGGTGTTGTACTTTGTTGAAGGGCTTGTCCTTGAAATCTGTTATGTCGGTCCATTTGTTCAGGATAGCCTCTGGAGTGTAAGTCTCAGGATTTGGATTAAAGATCTGACCAGCGGATCTTTCCCACCTGATCTGACCGTAGAAACCAGCTGCTAGTTCAAAGATAGAGTTGGTAACTTTCGTAGACTCGTGAGTTAAGAACAACACCAATGGAGCAATCTTCTCAGGTCCCAATTGTTTTAGGATATGTGGTGGAAGCACATTTTCAGTCATTCTCGATCTTGCCAAAGGTGCAATAGAGTTGACGTTAATATTGTACTTGTAACCTTCCTTGGCCAAGGTCTCAGCGAAACCGACCAGACCCAATTTTGCAGCTGAGTAATTGGCTTGCCCGAAATTACCGAACAAGCCTGCAGGAGATGCAGTGTTAATGATTCTACCGAACTTCTGTTGACGCATGTATGGCCAAGCCGCCTTGGTCAGCCTGTAAGCACCAGTCAAGTGAACGTCTAGCACAGCTGAGAACTCCTTCTCCGTCATTTTGGCAAATGACACATCTCTAAGGATACCAGCATTGTTGATCAAGATGTCAATTCTACCAAACGCCTTGATAGCGGTCTCCACAATCTGCTCGCCATTGTCATTCACAGAATCGTAGTTGGCCACTGCGGTACCACCACTCTTCACAATCTCATCCACAACAACATCAGCGGCCTTGCTATCATGGCCACTGCCACCCAGCGTACCTCCCAGGTCATTGACAACCACTTTAGCACCGCGCTTCGCATACTCGAGCGCGTATACTTTACCTAGCCCACCACCGGCACCAGTAATGACCACTACACGGCCATTAAAACTCAAATCTTTCCCCATTTTCCTTTCCTTTTTTTCCCTCTTTGTATAATAGAAAATTTCCGCTACTTACTTTGTATTTCCAACCTGAAGTGTAAGAGAAATGCATTTAGAGTTGTCCAGGTGGAAGGAAATTAAGAAAGCTCCAGGTTTATATACTTTTTCCCTCCCCCAGACCCCTGCGCCAGCTCTTCCCCTCGCTCTCGTCCCCTTCCCCACCGACCCCGCCAACGATTCCCCTTAGAAAAAGGCAGAGAGAAATACCCCAAGGGCGGTTAAAAAAGAAGGTCCGGACTAGACAGCCTCGGCTCCCGAGATTAACTCCACCTTCCAGTCGAAGCACACGATGACTTGTGATACACAGACACTCAGAGAAGATACTCAGAGAAGACACTAAGAGAAGACACTCAGAGAGACACTCAGAGACACACACAGAACCGCAGATCTAACTCCGTTTTCCCGCTTTTTACCCCACAAAAATACAGCTAGAGAGACACACAGCTTTAAGGGTTCCTTTTAATTTTGGGGTCCCCGTCTAGAAACAGTCCTGCAGCGTTTTCAAGGCATTGAACTGCGTAGAGAAGCTAGCGACCCCAGAAGCACAGAAACTCAGAGGGGGATTCTTGTGAAAAGTATGGTGTGTGTGGGTGTTTCTTTGTATGTCATCACAACCCACCCAGCCCAGAGTAAACTCCGTAGAGATTAGATAGATATATGCAGATTGTGGACATGGGTGTATGTGTGTGTGTGTGTTTGTATGTGTTTGTGACTCTCTCTACTCTCGTTAAAGTTATGGGGGGTACCCAAATAAGGTAATTTAGCCGCTGTCATTCCCTCCTAACGTAGTAAACGCAGAACAGATGTAGGTGCAACATACAGAAAGACACCACCAAACCATTCAAAAACTCAACACAACTTTAAGCTTACCTGCTGTGGTCTCAGAAACTATAGGCACAGGACCTTTCTTCCCTTCTCCACGAGACAGACTCCATATCCGTCGCAAACGGCCACAGTTGCGCGTGTCTGTGTGTGTCGGGGATAATTCTTCTAACCCCATTTGTCTGTGGCAGAACGGATGAATGGCTTTGCAAAAAGTTGAATGTTGGGAGTCACATGACTGGTAATTGTAGGTCTCCGGGGTTAAATTATCTGGACCCGAGAGGACGTCTCAAAAGTAATACACATATCAGAACTTGGGATATGTGCCTATTAGCACGCCCAAATAATAACTGATTATATAGAAGTTGAAACAAAAAAAAACAATATGGAAGATCACACTTGCAAATGTCTAAATAAATGCTCTTCTTAAACTATATACTTGGCACAAGACCTTATACTCTTACTTGGTAGTCTTTGGCGATTGTGTGGTATTTGACACCTTTGAATAAGTTTCGTTGCAGATCAGCAGAGGTGTCGACGTTGATAGATTCGATTTGCAAGCCATTGCTCGAGCCTGTATGCTTGTAACTGATGTTAATACTTTGCAACACCAACATTCTCTGAGCGGTGCTGTCGCTTCCCTTGCTGTCCTTGACATCTTCATCGCTGCGCTGTCTCTCAACACAACCTCGAAGTACGGGCATGGTACCTGTAGACACTTCCTTGTCAAACACCCACTTACTTCTTTTATGTACTCCTGAAGACATGTTCTCTAATCGACCATGCGTGATTTGCAATGGTTTAATTCTGAATTGCTCGACAGAAAACTCTTCCTCATCCGATGATAGATGCGTGTCTTTCTTCCGGTTGCCGTGAGATAGCCCAAAGTATAACATCACTTCCATGTCTTCTATATGTTTCACACTTGTAGAACTAGAGATATTTAGTGTGACCTCAAATTCGTCTCCCAAAGTACCTAGATGGTCCTCTATATCCGCATGGACTAAGCCTACCGAGTGTCTCTTCCCCTGATCGAGATTGATGTTATACTGCATTAGCGTAAACCTACCATCTGGCGGAATAAATGACAACTTTGATATCTTTTCTTGCTTCAACAAACTTGTCTTGTCAACACAATCGTGAAAACCAGGTATACCAATGTCTAGGCCACCTTGCTTTAACGCTATCTCTACCAATGGGTTCCCAGTTAAAAAACACCTCATATCAACACTACCACTAATATTACCACGTACATATTCTAAGTGACCACTTCGCCTTCCAAATATTTTGCGCCTACTGTCATTCTTCTTACTGGAATATTTCTTTTGATACACCACTTGTATAACTTCTCGCACATCAGCATAGAGCTCATTCCGATCATTGTGAATGTTCTTGCCATTCCTCCATGGAGCAACAGAGTCATCTCCCTTCAAAGTACTTCCGATGTGTGAAACCTTGCTACCCATAGATTGACCCATACCATTACCAAATCCGGGAGTATTTCGTTGCTTGTTAACAGCACTTTGTATCGTGTGTGCAGTACTACTTATGAGTTTGGATAGATCAGACCTCTCCGGTACAATCTCTTTAATCCTACTATCATACATGCCAGCTACATTATAATATCCACCATTCAGAATATAATTGCAGATAATCGACACTCGGTCAGCATTGTTGGTGATCTTAGTGATAGTTAGTTCCTCTTTGTCAAAATACTCATGCAGTCTCGTCTCAAATACTTGCATGGCAAATAGTGGCTCCATGTAATACACATTGCTGTCATTAGAATGCAAGCACCAATAGGTCAGCGCGGACCCCGCCAGCTGTGACTTGTACTTGTAAATAGTATTATCTGTACCATACGACCCAATTACCTCCTCTGAAGTGCTTGAAACACTTCCTCCACCAGAATCCCTCTCAATTGTATATATGTTGTCCTGGTAATTACGTGGTGCCACCAATTGAGGATGCATAGCTGACAACTTCACCCACATCTTGCTGAACTCAGGAGCCTTGGCATTCAGCAAATGCTGAAACACCAGCTTATTCTCCGCATCAGTAATATACACTGCCTGGTAAACCATACTTCAAACTTAAGGGACTCCAGATACAGCTTCAACTATTGGAATTATAGGCGGATAGAATGTATTGGTCAGACTGGCCTTATCTTACTGGTTTACCTTTTAATACTTCATGATTTCAAGCTGCATTCGTGACGAAGAGCAAGATAGGCGAATGCTCAAGTTTTTGGTGCTTGCGAAGTGAAATTTCAAAAAATCAACAAAACAACAATAAGGCTTTGTGAAATACGTTATATGTACAGACAATCCCTAGACACACACAAAGTGAACCCTACGCATCAACCAAGTTCAAAGGGAGTATAGGTTGTTTGTTGAAAAGTGGATTGCATAAAAGTTCCAGCTTCACATTATTAATATACATTTAAGCATTTTCAAATTGTGATATATAATCCTTTTTAACGCACTGGATTGAGTAAAGCAGTGATTTTTGGCAAACTTGAAGAATATACAACGGAGTTAACTTTACCTATTTGAAGGACCAAAATTCTCCTCCGGTGTTAATAATATTTGAAACATAACTGAGCAAGTTCACGGTAACTCTATTTATATTCTGCAAGCTATAGATAAAGTAAACTGGAGCGAAACATTGTATGATTTGAATTTTTTATGAAATAGTAATACAAAATTGATATTTGCAAATCTAACATAACGGAAAATATAGAAATCTGGGAATCATGAATAATCAGGCCGCCGACAATGTTATGAATAACGACCCGAACAATGGCACGCAAACAAGCAATACAGGGAAACCTAACAAGAAGCCTAATCCACAAAGCGCGTCAATAATGCAGACGATATTCAGGAATATAGGAACACCATCTTTTAAACTGTCTCAAATACCACAACAATACCTTCAAAATCTGACTCCACAGCAATTGCAAATGATACAGAACAGACATCAACAGCTGTTGTATGCGAGAATGCAACAACAACAAGCTCAGAACAGTCAAGCATCAACACCGCAGGAACAGGTGTCAGCGGCCAATAAAATTTCAACTCAACGGAAACCAGCATCAAATGCCCCCTCACCGGCAGTGCAGGAAATTCAACAAAATCATGCTTTTCAACAAAGTAACTCTACACCCACCGCATTTCATAATTCCCCACCTAATTCGTCAACGGGCTCTGTAAATCCAAACACAGGGGGAGTACCGCCAACGCTTCCTCCACAAATAGCTCAATTACCACTGGCTTCTCAGCAACAAGTATTACAGACTTTGAAACAGCAAGCAATAGCAAAAAATAATCCAGCTGTGGTTGCCGCGATAACAGCAGCTGAACAACATGTAAAGAACTTGTTGGAACAGCAGGACCAACAGAATACAGGATCAAAAAGTCAGACAAAAATGACAGCGAATAAACAAGGTTCAAGGGTGGTGAACCAGAAGATGACAACAGCTGCAAATTATGTTCCAGAATCTCCAGGAATAACCAACCAAATACCTCCCATGGCCCTCCCGCAGAATATTCCACCCCCACAAATTGATATGAGGAAGTACGAACTACCAAGCTTCCAAACCATTAATTATGATCCCCCAGAAACTAAACTACCTAATCCATCATACTGGTCCTCAAGAAACCCTACTACTGATATCCTGCTCTATGAGCAAATTACTCAAAGGGATAAAGCTAATGTTAGTGCCCAACACAGAGAAGTTAATGGGTATGATCCTTTCAGTATTTACGGTTTTAGTAACAAAGAATATGTAAGCAAATTGTGGCATACCTTAAAATACTATCAGGATTTGAAGACCACCAGAATGAAATCTATAACGAATACCTCTCAAAACATACCAACAGCAAGTATATGGGGTAACGGTTACTCGGGTTATGGCAATGGAATCACAAATACCACTACAAAAGTTGTACCATTTCATCCAATTGCTGGTAGAAACTTCTATTCACCCGATAAAATAAAACTATACAAACAGGCAATGAGTGAGGACGCAGAAAATCTCGTCCCTGTTAGATTAGAATTTGACTTGGAGAGGGATAAATTCTTCTTGAGAGACACATTACTATGGAATCGGAATGAATCTGTTGTTGACATAAACGAGTTTGTGGAGGATATGGTAGCCGACTATCAATTTGACACTTCGATCAAAAGACACGCCATTGATATGATTTCACAGTCCATAAAAGAGCAAGTTCAGGAATATCAACCTAATCCATTTATTGAAGAACATTTGTCAAGAATTGGTGGAGACGACATGAGAATTACAATTAAACTTGACATTGTTGTAGGACAAACCCAATTGATTGACCAGTTCGAATGGGATCTTTCCAACCCTGACAATTCCCCAGAGGAGTTTGCCGAATGTATGTGTCGCGAATTAGAGCTACCTGGTGAATTTGTCTCCGCAATTGCTCATAGCATTAGAGAGCAGGTTCATATGTACCATAAATCATTGATAATGCTGGGCTACGGATTTGATGGAGGTATTGTAGAGGATGATGATATTAGAAGTAGAATACTACCCGTGGTCACAGTTGATGACGTATATAGACCTCCTGCAGATTGTAAAGTTTTTACGCCCAACATACTTCAAATTTCCCCCGCTGAGCTGGAAAGACTAGATAAAGACAAAGATAGGGATACCAGACGTAAAAGAAGACAGGGTAGATTTAGTAGACGTGGTAATACAAATATTGGTGGTATGTCGATGTCTTCTACTAATGCAAACGCAAGTGCAGCAAACAACTCATCAGTGGGTGGTGAGGCTACATTACCTGATATTGCTGATATTCCAAGAACCTTTAGAACTCCTATACCAAGTACCATACTTCCTGGAGGTGTTGATTTAGGCCCATCTGTCTTCTCATATAACTTAGAAACGTCTGTTGAATATCAATCGAGGGGGCCACCACCTGAACCAGTCATGCCTCCATGTTATGTTGTTGATCATATTCCTGGAAAGTCAATGTTAGTATCCATTAAACTCCCCCAAAAGACTGCAGCTCCACTGGCAGTAGAACAACATGGCCAGCATTTCGGAGGTGACAGCACTAACACTGATGTCCCAATTAAAAAGGAGGATGATAACATTTCTGCTGAAGCTGCACCATCAATGCAAAATATATCAAACCCTTCACAAACTATCCAAGCAGCAAGTGAAGTCCCCGAGGACAAGAGAGAACAAGATATCGATGCTATTACTCCAATTGTAGAAAGTCAAACTGAAGAGAAAAAAGAAGAGCCTGAGACGGCAACCGAAAATTCTGAGAAGATTGAAGATAAAGAAACAATGGACAAAGTTGTGGAGGCAGAAAGTGGTGAGAAACAAGTCGTTAGTGAACAGGAATTAAACTCACATATCGATGAAAAACTTGATGGCGAGAAACCACCAGTTGATTCCACTGACATAAAAAAGGTTGGTGAATCAGAACAAGTAAACGGTACCCCACCACTTGAAGTTAATACAACACAAAAGGAAGCCAAATCTCCATCCGACGAAGTACCGCAATCCATAGAATCAGGGATGAAATCTCCTGAGGAGGAAAACAAAGAAGGCTCATCTAATGATAATAGGCTAGAATCTGAAAACATAAATACTTCCAACGAAAATGATAATGCTGATACGGAAGTAGCTGGAAAGGATAATGAAGAGACAGAAGTTGCTGGAAAGGATAATAAAGAGACAGAAGTTGCTGGAAAGGATAATGAAGAGACAGAAGCTACTAGAATGGGTAGTGAAGAAAGCGGAAATCAATATGATGATAATCAGACTCACAATGAGACCACCGAAAAACCTGATACAGACAATACAGATGGTCAGGAAAAGACCCAATTGTAATAAATAGCAGACATATATACATAACTTTAGAATGGACAGGACAGGCAAGATAGTGTCTGCACCATTTTTTTGTAATACTAAGAACATATACATTTTCAATTACATCGTATATTCACTTGGCCCTTCCTAAACATGTCTTTGAAAAATATAAAGGCGACACCTTGAGCGCAATACTAAGCCGGTGTCTGTACTTATATTCAGAATGATGAGTAATGCATTGATACTTTATTATTAAGGTGGGAAGCCCATCCGACGTAAATCAAAAATTAAACGGAAGCTCGCCAAACGACCTGAAAGTCAAGAAACTCTCCCGCACTGAGCGAAAAGGAAAGGTGGCTGGGACAGGTAATAGATTTGCCCAGGATAACGAAGGTTTAAGCACTGCTTTTGAAGAGCATCTAAGCACTATTGCGTTTAAACAATATAATCTGCACAGGATTACATTCTAAAATAGTGGATATTGAATATATCATCATAAGCTGTTTGAAGACCCAGTTTTTATATATCGCGGGGCGAAAGAAGCAAATAATAAAGTGCCCTCTAACACTTGTACAGTTTCTGATTCCAAGAATATCTGATTTGTTAAGTTTTCCTTCAAGACTAATACGAAAGCTCCTTCACTCGATATCCTTTGATATTTCATTATTTTTCTTTTGATACCAGCTTAACTTTCTCCTAATAATTAAACTTGCACTTTTTATAGAGATAGCGAACAGCTTTTATTTTGGCAAGGTATTAAGAAGGATACAATTCGGCAAAGAAAGACAGCATATTTTTGTGCTCAACAAGAATTCAACACATTTGATCATTATAAGATTTATAATATGAGTGAAGAAGATAGACATAATAACACAACTGTTCCCCAGATTGAAATAACTTCTGATACCCCGGAATCGAATACGCATAGGGTGGAGATAGAAATGGCAAACAACACAAACGGTGAGGAGACTCAAGGAACAACGAATAATGAAGAGGAAGACCCTGGTGTTAGTAGTTCGGACAGATTGCTACCTACGGATTTTGGAAGAGCTGCCAGACATATAGATAACATTGGGCGTCACTTCAACATATTAGATAGGTTTTTCAAAAGGCGGAATAACGCCAATGGATCTAATTCGAGAGGTGTTGGTTTCGATGGTGTATTTTCCAACCTAAGTGCCAAACCTGATAGAGACGGAGCAAACGAACATACTCAACAAGATAATCCTCCAACATATGATGAAGCGGCTGCAGATATGTCACCATCTTACTACGGAATGGACTTGAGCAGCACTGATATGTATTACGATGAAATCTGTATTGAGGGCTTACCAGTTGGTAATATCGCAAACCTATTTTGGAATATTATTGTGAGTACCAGTTTCCAATTCGTAGGGTTTTTGGTGACATACCTACTACATACATCACATGCTGCTAAACAAGGCTCCAGATTTGGTTTAGGACTAACATTTATTGGCTATGCATACTCTATGAGGCCCCGGAATGTTGATGTTAAAGTTGGTAAAGACAAGACAGCAGATCGTATAAAAATCGAGAATCCAAATGATTATAACGATTTACAAATACCCGAAGATGGAACTGAAATGGATAATTTTGAATCATCTCTCAGCCATGGTCTTGAAGAAAAGAAGCAGTCTTGGTCATTTATTACAATATTTGCGGCGTTATTAGGTATATTCATCGCAATAAAGAGTATATACGATTACGTCAAGGTGAAAAAGATGGAAAGAAAGTATCTTTCACAGGAGGAACAGCAAGTTTAGCATTATACATAATTTTGGGTCGTTTTTAGTATTTTTTTAGGGCAATAGCAATTTTCATAACTTTTTATTTCTCTGTTTTTATTTGGGGTATGATTAAAGGCTGTCAATTAATAAGTCTAGCCACGCAGTAAATATTGCAACTACCTCTATAAAATTAATAATTAAAAAAGTGTCTTATATTTAATGTCATTGCTGCCACTAGCTCAAATAAAGCAATACATTTTCATAAATAGTAAATACGATACCTCCACTCAAAATTAATCTTCCTAATCTTGGGGTTGCTCCTTTCCAAAACGTCTTTAAACCTTCCTCCTTATAGATCGTAGTGAAACAATTTAGAGTTGATGAGTATTTGCTTGCAGTCAAACTTTGCATACGTGTTTTTACAGTATCGATAGGCATGGTGGCATAAACTGTTACCACACCACTGAAGGCACCTACAATAAATGTCAATCCAGATGTCAAAGGTTTATCCTTAGGTGCACCAGTATAATCCTGAACTAACACCTTGATTTTATTATAACAACCCAATCTAACAGCTTGATTAGCTGCTTGTCTCATCGAAACGGGTAGCACACCACCATAAAGACCTCGAAAACCTTCATCTTTTACAAGTGATATATAATTACGAGCCATACTACGCCCATTGTTCTGATATTTTGGTCGTACCGACTGTTTATCATCAATCAAAACTGTTTTGATTGCTTCAAAGGGAGTTACTGCTACAACACTTTCTAGTAGTCCAGCCCCGAGACCAGCAAGAACACCTCTGGGACCACTCAATTCTCCAGTCTTCTTATCCTTTAATAAATTCCTGATCGTATCATAACCAAGGAATCTTGTAGCTGCCTTCGCTGTGTTACCAACAATGAAGGCGGGACAACCCACATAAATTGCACCGACACCTTGTGTCTTCGCTGTATTATATATAAGCACCAATGGGTTTCTCGATGCCTTAGAAGATTTATCAATCAGTTGCAGCCTCGTCTTCGCAAATTCAAATGGATATGTTATAGAAGCTTCAACAGCACCTGCCAGAGCACCAGCAACAAATGATTTGGTTGGATCCACTTTCTTAGAGTCCTTTGACATCTTATCTTTAGTGTACTTTGTTATAACTCGTAAATGTTAGCTCAAGATCCCAACTCTCTCTATTTTATTGTTGACCTTTTCCAACCAATGAAATAGCCAATGACAAATAAAATTGATACAAATAGAAAGCGAGAACTATCAACAGAGTATTTATATAATCTAATTGAGCAAGCTGGAGAAATATCAGTTAATCAAATTACTATTCATGCATTGATGACTCTAAAACAATGGGCAGTAAGGTTCCCATCGGAATTTTAATAGGTTTATTTTTTCACTCTCTAAGAAACATTCGTAGAAGTAAGCAATTTCTTTCATCGCGAGTCGCATAAAATCTATTTCAGAGGTGGAAAAATTCCATCGGATTTAGGATCACCGTCCAATTGGAAATACATGAAATGCGAATTATGATAATTATGAAAGCTGTCATAATCCACTATAAAGTATATTCAAGATTAGTGAGTTAAATATCATATATTTGCTTTTTAATAATGCAATGCATAGGGTTTACAGTGTAATATTAACACCCGTAACTATAGCATGTTAGGCAGTGCTTATTCAGACTACTAATATTACCTTAAACATCTTCAAACTCTATATCCATATCATCATCCTTGTTTTTATCTTCGCCGTTAGAGATCTTTTTCTCGTCCGATTCATCCATTACATCTTCGAATTCATCTTCAAAGGCCGCGATGTCTTCGTTATCCTCGCTATCTTCAGATTGATTCTGAGTTGTGCCGTTGTTGCCTGTTACCACATCTTCGAAACCATCTTCATCATCATCATTCCCGTCCACGTTATCATCATTAACATCCTCCATTTCTTCCTCTTCCTCTTCCTCTTCTTCTTTTTTAGCCTTTGCCTGCTTTCTAGCTAAAGCAGCGTAGTATTCGTTCAATGTTCTTTCATTTTCCTTCTCCTCTCTTTGGTTTGCTGTTAGATTATTGTTGTAGCCATATGTAGATTCTTCATCTACAACATCTGAACCGCCACCCATGGTAGATTGTAATGCCTGCTGAGTAGTCTGGGGATCAAATTCTTCATCGGAGTCTAATCTACCTAGTGCTGTCTTACCAATGGTACTCTGTTGATGCCATTCAGGAACAGCATTTTGCTTTCTCTTCTCTTCTGCTTGACGTTCTTGTAATTGTCTTTGTACAATTTCATCATTTGCAGTAGTGATATTAACATGAAGAGTAGCTTGTGAGTTAGCACCTGCACGCCTACTACTGTCATTACCAAGTGAGTTACCCATAATAGAGTTTGCATCCAAAGTGGTTTCACCTGGCTTGAACATGGTAGAACCCTTCTTGGGGTTGAATGTGTATGCTGCGTTAAGTTGATTCTGAGGTGGGATCAATCTCGCCAGTGCTAGTTCAAATGTGTTTTCTTCTATTCTAGAATCGTCAATCTTTTTCAAGTAATCAATAATCGGTTGAATTTGGTCCATCAGCCTATTTAGTTTGTCCTGTTTCTCTTTGTTCTTCTTACCAGAGTCGTCTTCAATCAATGGCTCGTCACATAAAGAACATAAAAATTCTGTTCTTTCATAGTTCAACAACTGAATGGCTTCCAGTTGTGTATATTTAGTCAAACATATAGGGCACATGTATCCATTGGGTTCAGAGTTTTTATCGAGGTCCTCCTTCATCCTTTGCACTAACTGATGAACTTTCCACTTGATGGAGTCCACTGCATGTGGATACTTGATGTAGTAGTAACATCTCTCTACACTCTTGGAATTAGGAGGATATTCCCTTTGCTTATGTGTGGAGACTAGCCTGTCCGACCGCAGCCTTGCAATCAGAGGTCCAAGCTCTGTCTTATTGATACTCAACAACTGTTTCAAATCCTCTTCAACTAGCACTGAATGGTATATGATTGCATCTAGAACGAGCACATAAGACCCCCCATAAAAGCCTCTCACCACAAACTTCAGCAGGTTTTTAACAATCTCATCGATAGGAACGTCCATAATCTCGAATTAGTCTCCTCTACCAAATCCCCTTGTGCTTCTAAGAGTATAAAAATCCCAGTATAGAAGTACGGGATGCTCTATGTACAGGGAAGTGTTTCAAGTTGAAAGTTGATACTCTTACAGTAGATTTATTCAGTATCTTCAAACTACTAACATTTCTATTTGATCCAATTGCTGAAGCTTTCAATTTTCACTATTCTTATAAAATAAGTCACATGATCAAGAGTAGTACAACACGTCAAGACACCCGATGCCCAGTCTAACATTAAGGAAACAGCATACTCATGCCAAATACAGAGTGTTAAATAGACATCTTTACTGTGATGGTTAACTACAGTTAAATGATTACTACAAATTCCCCTTTTGATATTTGGTGGACGATCCACCCTGCGTTACCAGCTCAAAGTTGACTAATCCCTTTGAGTTGTACAGTAATGCAATTGACTCTGCGTGGTCATCTCCTATACCAGTTCGGCGTGATACCTTTAGTCACACCAAAGTGTAAAATAGTCTTTCTTACTCCCATATATCCGAGCAATATTGCTCACTACATATGTAAACCAAGAGTATATCCGATCTTCACCTCACGGTCACCTCACGGTCACTTCATGGCCACAACTAGGCATCCGAAAGCTGTTCTAATCGTGTTGAATGCAGATTGTCATTCTGCTAGAGATGAACTCCAAGAAAAGGATGTCAGGTCCGGTTTGAGTCATTTTAATTAAATTACATCGATGGGTTCATTAATTTTTTTCAACTTTTTTTTTTTCAAGCTGTCTCTGGGCCATCACCTTCGAGATGATCTTTAGAAGTTCAATTTGTTATCAATCAGCCAAATTCCATCCTCATCGCCTAGCGATAGGAAGGTCTTTCTTGGATTTGTAGTATTGCCATATTTATATACTCTCTTAGCGTATTCATATACAAGACACTGAGTTACAATTCTCACTAATTGTATTCACATAATTTCTATCGATTAGGTCTTTGAAATTAAACACTTGATCAATTGAGGTTAATAGTTATACGTGGACTGAGAATTATAGAAAATCCTTCCATCGCTATAAAGAAAGGCCCACAAGTGTTTACCAAGCCTGCCATGTTTTTGTTCAGGAAGCCATCGATAAGGTCATGCCAGCGCATAAATAGCCTGTGTTCCTTACTGGAGTTACAACGTGGATATGCTACCACTACCAGGGAGAACACACTATACCCACCACACGCGGATACATCCTCACCACACAAAACTCCTGTAGGTGAAGCTGCCAAGGAATACTTGAAGCAGAAAAAGAGGAAGTTGCAAGAGAAAGGTACGCCTAAGTCAACGAGATTAACAGTGGAAGGTGTAATCGAATGTCCGTTGGAATCCTTTCAATTACTTAATTCTCCACTTTTCAACAAAGGTTCTGCCTTCACTCAGGAGGAAAGAGAGGCCTTTAACTTAGAGGCCTTGCTTCCTCCACAAGTGAATACACTTGATGAACAACTTGAGCGTGCCTACAAGCAACTTTGTTACTTAAAGACACCGTTAGCCAAGAATGACTTCATGACTTCTTTGAGAGTGCAGAATAAAGTCTTGTATTTTGCATTGGTGAGAAAACACATTAGAGAGTTGGTTCCCATCATATATACCCCAACGGAGGGTGATGCTATTGCATCTTATTCCCACAGATTCAGAAAACCAGAAGGTGTATTCCTCGATATCACAGAACCAAACTCTGTGGAGAAGAGATTGGCAGTTTACGGAGAGGCCAAAGATGTTGACTACATCGTTGTATCTGATTCAGAAGGTATCTTAGGTATCGGTGACCAAGGTGTTGGTGGTGTTCGTATTGCGATTTCAAAATTAGCCCTAATGACTTTATGTGGTGGTATCCATCCAGGAAGAGTCCTACCGGTTTGCTTGGATGTGGGTACTAACAACAAGAAATTAGCAAGAGATGAATTGTATATGGGTAACAAATTCTCAAGGATAAGGGGTAAGCAATATGATGACTTCATAGATAGCTTTATCCAAGCGGTCAAAAAACTATATCCAAGTGCCGTTTTACATTTCGAAGATTTCGGTGTTAAGAACGCCAGACGAATCCTGGATAAGTACCGTTATGATTTGCCATGCTTCAACGATGACATTCAAGGTACTGGTGCAGTTGTCACTGCTTCATTGCTTGCTGCACTAAAGCATACAGACAGAGAATTAAAGGATACAAAGGTGTTAGTTTTTGGAGCAGGGTCTGCTGGTCTTGGTATTGCTGACCAAATAACAAATCACATGGTTACACATGGACTAACTCCAGAAGAAGCTCGGAGTAACATTTATTTGATGGACAGACGTGGTTTAATCCTAGAATCTATGGAGGAGAACTCAACGGTAGCTCAACACAGATATGCCAAACCAGACGAAGATTGGGATGATATTGATACTACCAAGTTATTCAACGTTGTTTCTAAGATGAAACCAACGTGCTTGGTAGGTTGTTCCACACAGGCAGGTGCTTTTACCAAGGAGATCGTCCAAGAGATGTATAAATACAACCCAAGACCAATCATTTTCCCACTATCCAATCCAACTAGATTACACGAGGCTGTTCCATCTGATCTAATGGAGTGGACCAATAATGATGCCTTGGTTGCAACAGGTTCTCCATTTGCTCCAGTGAATGGCTACCGTATCTCCGAGAATAACAACTGTTTCTCATTCCCAGGTATTGGTCTAGGTGCTGTTCTTTCCCGTGCCACAGCTATCACAGACACTATGATTTCCGCGGCAGTAGACCAACTTGCGGCCCTATCTCCATTGAAACCAGGTGACTCTAGGCCTGGTTTGCTACCACCATTGGAAGACATTACAAACACTTCCGCTAAGCTAGCTACTGCGGTTATTCTACAATCGTTAAAGGAAGGCACTGCCCGTATCGAAGACGAAGAAGTGCCAGGCAGTCCCGGTGAGAAAGTCACTGTACCAAGAGACTTCGACCAATGTCTAGAATGGGTGAAATCACAGATGTGGGAACCAGTGTACAGACCCATGGTAAAAGTGAATTACGACCCAGAAGTGCATACTAACCAAATGTAATTTTATAGAAGGAAAAATTACAAAATACTTTTCTTTTCTTTATTCATTTTTTTTTGTCTTCATAATTTTATAGTATAGTAAATGCCCACCTCGGCAGATTACATAGACATGTGTAAAACATAATACGCCTAATTTCTTTCCAGCACGCTCCGTTTATCCCAACAACTAATGATCTCTGGGGCAAGAAAACTTTTAAGATAGTTTTTACTATAGATATAGAAGACCAATAACGTATACGCATTACTTTCTGCCCCCATAGGTTCTGCGTGTTCGCATTAGTGTCATGAAATTTCCAGCCGTGGAAGGTAGAAAAGAGCAAACTTAAATAGTGCGAACTAACAGTAGTACGTGACATATATGGTTCGTTACATAGACGCAGGATATCCCGCCTGCATACTCTCATGAGCTACTCAAAAAAAAAGCCTCTTTTAAGGACATGGATCCTTCTCTTGCCTGTTCTTGTGGAGCGAGGAAAGATAGGGCAGTGATAGAAGGGCAAAAGCAAAACCAAGAGATGACAGTAAAACAAAGATTGTAGAACATAGAGCAAAGAACAAGAAGAGAGCCAAAGAGATAGTAGAGCAAGGATAGAGCCAGAAAGATAGTAGAACAAGGATTCTTAGTGCTGTCACAGCTGTTCTATAGAGAAGATTATGGAGGCGAGCGATATTTGTTGATATTTGTCCATTAGGTGTATTCGTTGAAGATTCTGTGTAGTGGGAGAGTCTTTAGTAAGAGAGGGGGGGATTGTCTAGGCAGAGGGCTTGAAGCTAGTGGAGGAAGAGCTTAGCAGGAGGAAGGAAGGAGCTAGGCAGGGAGGCAGTAGAGCTGTTATAATTCAGAGAGACTTTGCAGTGGCTCCGATCGCTGCGCACAGGTGTTATTCCGTGCTGTGAAAGTTGGTGAATGATTAGCTCTGCATCATACAGCAGAAAAAAAATGAGCGAAAAAGAAGAGAAAGAGAAAGAGAAAGGGAAGGAGGGGACGTACGATAAGATGTAGAGCACGCACTTTTCTTAGCGAATGAGGAAAGGAGGGACTCTGAAAGCTCTGAAAGCTCTGGGTGAGCTCTGGGTGAGCTCTTTGGAGCGAAAGGATAGCAGGAGGAGGAACCTTAGGGCATACCCATGTAGAGTGGGAAGAGAGACCACTCACAGAGCCATTTTTGCTAGAGAATCGACCCGGCTTTTGTCTTGTCTTGTCCTCCCGGTTTCTTCTTTTGAGTCTGAGTGGCGAACTGTGCAAGGTGACGAATGGAGGTAGGAAGGGGGAAGAGGAAAGGGAAGAGGTGGCAGAGAAAATTTTCTTGTGATTCTAATTCTGTAACAAGGAGGTTTCCTTCAACAAACTTTCAATAAAGATAACTCAGAGACAAAAGTAATAGCAATCTTTGATAGTTCTTTCTACTGTAGGACTCTTACGCTCAGAAAGCTTAGTTTAATACTAGGAGAAATAATAACTTTTCTATTTTCTCTACTAACATTCCTAACCGGATAAACGTTTTAGAGATCAGTTTACTTTTGAAGAATTCTCTTTGAATATAGTGCAAGAGATAATAGACGCACTACTCCAATAGCTGCTTTTCAACTTAGCTTTGAACATACTAGGAACTGTGAAGGAAAGGAAGGCTAGATTAGACATCTCCGCTACTACAATATTATACCGTCTTTCTGTTTGAGCCTTTACTTCTCTTCTTAAGGTTTTTAACTTACAATAGGACATTATCGAGACTACTCCTAACATTTCAAAAGAATCATATCTGTTGCCAGATAGTTTCCGGGATAGTCTTAGAACCAACTTTTTTAAATTCTTTTTGCTATTGCTAATAAAGATAAGTAGTAATACCTGCTTACATCTTTTTACTTCTTTACAAGTCAAAGAAAGGACACAAAAAAGGATCTACACGAATCCGCTGTTCTCACTCTCTTGTATTTTTGAAGAATCGGTTTAGACACTTAGCAATACAAAACCCGCTGCTTATACAAGTCGTTTTTCATATTGTGGTCCTACGTACAATAGAAAAATTCTTTTCAAACTTGCTATAAACTAACAGCACGCACGAAGACACAACACTACACTCTTGTCTTTGTACGTTTTTTTGTGCCGCTATAAGAACTTAGACACAACTATAAGCTCTTATCGAAAGACAGAATTTATATTTTTATTATTATTCTGATTCAACAGAGACGTCTTAACAAGTTTCGGCTCAGGACTTCTCTTCTTCTCTTAGTACTGACAATTAGAAGAAGCTTCCTCGGCACTTTCAAAAAGGCAAAAAATCTAATATTAGATATTTTGAGCGTATTAAACTATACTATACGTGCTCAGTAACTAATAACGGAAGTAAGATATCATTCTTACCTAAATAAACAGCTGACCCCACCGTTTGAAACAAGCGAGTCACGAAATTCATTCTCGATAGTTGTCGTCGGAAATTCCATTGCTATTTTTCGCGATTTGTTTACTTGCTATTCATCTCCCTCAGTGAGTACACGAACACGCAAGAATAAACAAAACAAAGTAAACAAAACAAAACAACATTGAATTCAATTGAAGGGATTTTTTTCTTTCTCTAATAAACAACTGAGAAGAACACCAGAAAAAGGATTTAAATCAAAAGAAAAAAATTTATTTCTTCCCTTCTCTGTTTGAATACAAATTTTGAAATAAAATAAACAAAAGGAATAGAAGTACAAATTATAACTACTTTTGAAAAACTTCCTTTGTGAACAGTATTTCATTTTTGCTACTTGGTTTTTTCCATACATATCTTTTTTCATTGCAGTATTAAGTCTTTTACTTACTGTTGCAAAGGATTAACAAGAAACCATTCCAACTTTATTTTATCTGAAAAGAAAAATAATAGTACATTTATTAGTTCTCTGCTAATCATAAGGAACTGATAATCAAATACAAAGAATAGGAATCAATTGTATTGACGTGTTTTTTAAAGAAAACTACAAGCAATTAGAAACAAAACAAAGAAGAACACCAAGACCCCAATTAGAATTGACCTTGGTATTTTCATTGAAATAGAATTTGAATAACTAACACTACTTCCGTTGACTTATTTAATTCTCACAGAACAACCTTCATTTGTTTTCACTGCTAGTTTCAAGTTTTTCTATCTGACAGTTATTGACTTATACATTTGCGCTATTAGTCAATCACATCAACAAGAAAAACAAACAAACAAACCAAAACAACAGATACAACAGATTTTTATCTCTCTTCTTTTTTCTCCTCTAAGCTTGCTTTTTGTTTGGTGAATTAGAAGAAAGAATTATGAACCATATACCACAAAGTGGAAACGCGTCTGGTGGTACCGGAACTGGTAACTCAAACTCTAACAACAACAGCTCTTTAAACCAACAGCAATTCCAGGAAATGATGTATAACTCATTCCTGAACCATTTGAATCAAAACAAACCCGCCTCTGGATCTTCAGGCTCTGGTTCTAACAACGCTGCTTCTGGTAACTCTAACACCTCTAGCGGTAACAACGCTACTGCTGCTGCTTTGGCACAACAACAAAAGTACCTATCTTCTCAACCACAAAGATACTACTCTAACCCAAGTGCTAACATGATGAATGACCCATTGGCTCAACAGTCATTTTTGCAACAACAACAACAACAAATGTTGCAACAACACCAATTGCATCAAATGCAAGGTGGCCAAAGCTCTACTACTGCTTCTACTGGTAACAACCACACCACCACAAACAGTGCAAACTACTCCCCACAATATATGCACGACCAATTGCAATACCACCCATCTGGCAACGGCTCTTTGCAATACAACTCCAACGGTCAACCATACCAGTATCACCCACAAAATGTTTCTTACCAGCAGAACCAACAGAAATCTTCTGTTGCTCAGTACAACCAAGTCAACCAGGATCAATCCTTCCCTTACCAACAGCAGTACAACCAACAGAACATGCCTAACAACATTAACATGCAACAGGCCCAATTGAAAGCTCAACAAAGAACTTTGCAATTGAACCAAGATGGTACTCCAAAGGTAACAAAGAAGGGTAAAGGCCGTAAGCCAAAGAAGCAAGATGGTGCTGCTCCTACTAAGGCTCCTAAGGAACCTGCTGCTTCTCAGCAGCAAGGTAACAATGCCAACCATCCAAAGAAGCTGTCCTCTACCCAAAGTAGAATTGAAAAGAGAAAGCAATTGAAGAAACAAGGTCCAAAGAGACCATCTTCTGCTTATTTCCTTTTCTCCATGTCCATCAGAAATGAATTGCTACAACAATTTCCTGATGCCAAGGTTCCTGAATTATCCAAGTTGGCCTCTGCTAGATGGAGAGAGCTTTCCGACGATGAAAAGAAACCTTACTATGATGAGTTCAGAACTAACTGGGAAAAATACAGAGTTCTAAGAGATGAGTACGAAAAGACTCTTCCACCAAAGAGACCATCTGGTCCATTTATCCAATTCACACAGGAAATTAGACCAATTGTTGTCAAGGAAAACCCTGACAAGAATTTGATTGAAATTACGAAGATCATTGGTAGTAAATGGAGGGATTTGGATCCAGCTAAAAAGAATGAATACACCGAGATGTATAAGAAGAGACTCAAGGAATGGGAGGAGTGCTACCCTGAAGAAGCTGCTGCTCATGAACAATCCACCCAAACAAAGAAAGGCCGTAAGAAGAAGCAAGACCCTCATGCTCAGGATAACACTGCTATAACTGACCCAAGTCTGTTGAATGCTGGTAACATATCTGTTGGTGTTGCTGATCTTTCGTCTATGGTCCCTAAGATGGATTCCATGCAATAATCAGTATTGTTATCTCTTAATGAAAAAAATGCGTCTTCAAATATATCAATTTCACACGATACCCATTGCTTCATAATGATTTCTTTATTATTTTCTTATCATGTGCCATTAGCTTTATCAAATTATTCTAAAGTTCCTGTTCCAATTTCCATAAATGGCTAAACATCTATTATGGAGTAGGGGGATGATGGTTTTGAATTTGAATTGTAAACATCGTTCAAATTCGCATATTTACTATGTACAGGATTTTGAAAAATTCTAAGGAAAGGTATTATGATATGCAGGAATTGTTGACATTGTTGTTCCCTATCATTCTCTAATTCATTGATTAATTTATTTTGCTTCATCAGGGAAGGTTGTATTCTAATAAAAAACTTGATTTAGTTCATTTTAAAATTCTTTTTATTATCTTTATTCTACTGCTTGTACGCTGGAATAACTTATCCGAAAAAAAAAAAAAACATTGATAATAAGGACGTTTTTACTTATTAAGGTGGGAGTTTTTTAAATACTCTCGCTTGTAGTAGCCTATATTTGCGACTTATTTCAAATTGTATACTTCTAAAAAAAATTGTTTATATAACTGTATTAATTTTAATTCAATATTATTATCTCTATTATATGGTCATGTCGAAAAGCACGTCTCCTAGATGTAGAGATTTTGATTCAATCTCATCCTTCGGTATACTTTGAACACAACAGTGAAGCATATCTCTAATATCCAAATCACTCAAAAAAAGCTCAGCAATAATAATACCCTCTAGCAACATATAGTTTAAAGCTGCAAGAGCTTTCATTGTTATAGGAGGAAAACGAATACGATTTAAAACTACTACAGAAGTAGTTTCTTGCCCATTCTCTATTTGTGAATATTTTATCTCTTTGAGTAATATTGATCGAGCCTTCACCTCTTTCCAGAGATCAACAAAACGCTTTGACACAAAATCACCACTACATTCAATCATGATTCTTAGACAAACACATGCAGCCTCTACTATAGAGTAGTCTGAATCAAAAGTTAAAGTTGAAATTAACGGCCAAGCTTGGGCCACTTGTGGTAACAGTGAAGAATACTGGGTGGCTAGCATAGGCCATATTTGAGAGAAAATATTTAGAATTAGTATTTTAAGCTCTTTTGATGGATGTGTCAACAGTCTATCACCATATGATATGATCTGCAAAAGTACACGGTATGATTCGACTGGTATTGGAGAAACCCATTCTTCACTAGTCTTCTTTTTTTTCTTCATCTCCTCAAGTTCGTTATGGCTTCCCTCATCTTCATAATTCTCAATATCATCATCATCATCATCATCATCACTATCACTATTCTCAAGTTCCATTTTTCTATTAACATAATCTTTGAAATTATTTATTTCACTCAATGCGTCATCTTCATTAATATCAATAGTACCGTCCTCGATATCAATAATTATCTCATTTTCTAACATCTTACATATTTGCTCGACATTTGCAATTCCCCATGGTTTAAATGTGCTCTTGTTGCTGGCTTTATCTTCAATTTTATCCCAGTTCTTATCGGCAGTCAAGTAAGTTTTCTGCATCTCCATAACTATTATTTCGAAAACTTTGAAAAACTGTATACATAGATCAGAATAACCATGATAAAAGTCGAGCATTTTAAACAACGTCTCTATGACATCTTTGAAACTCCTAATTGCCTCATAACCCGCAAGTTTACAGATGACCATTAGAACTACACTAACCCTTTGCGTCATACCCGAGGCAAGTTTAATTGAAACTGCATCAATTATATAGTCCGTATTTTGGGTAATCATGTCAGATATCGAATTATGATATAGTATTTTGGCCAGTACTATCGCGCTCCTCTTTGAGAATTCCCTAATGAGCATAGATGATGAAGCTAAGTTCTCGATTATAATGTATATATAGTCAATGACTTCATCTTGAAAATCCTTCCCAATAGTCTCAACAACAGTAGTGATAGATCTAAGGATTGTACAGACTAAAATCTCTTGAGATATCGTTCCGTTTTGTCCTTCCATCTCCATCTCAAGTCCTTCATAGCATTGTTTGGCACACTCTAAAAGTTGATATGCAACTGTTGGGTAGGATGCATAGCTATTCAACCCTGTTCCAGTCAAGCTATCCATTGCCACTCCATTTGATCCACTAATAGATAACTTACCATTTAGTAAATTACTTGAAATCCACATACTTGTAATTTTATCGGATAGAGAAGTAAAATCCATTTCATTGAGCAACCCTTCAATCACATGTTCTTTACTTTGGGCAGGTAGTTCATGCGCAAGTGCCCCGAGAAAGCTTGCCACAGTTTTTTCCTCAGTCCCTATTACGTTTGTAAGTAATCCAGTTTCCGCTGTATCCAATTCCCATTTATCCATCATGATCACTTCCGATTTTTGATCTATTGTTTGAATTTTTTTTGTAGATGCATCATAAATATCAATTTCTTTCATAACATGAGTTTTCAGGCTAACTAAGCACTTGGTAATACCAGGGAGAAGCTCACTATCCCCCTCCAATAATTTCACTAAAAAAAACAATTGGCTCAAAGTTCCTTCTGTGCTCTCCTTCAATTGTGAATTCAAGTTTTCCACCTCTTCAGAAAATATGTTTCTAACTTCATTTATGCAAGATTTCAGTATATTCTGAGGGTTCGAGTTAAGATATATGAGGGTTCGAACCAATAGAGGTACCGACGTACATAGAGAGCTTTTACAATTAGCTAGCAAGCCGCCACATAACTTTGAAAGTTCATGATTTATCCTACTATCATTTCTACGGCATAACTTTGTGAGGAATGATTCCAAAGAGAGTCTTATTTGAGATGAAGTTCCTTTCAGCCAACTAGTATCTCTATGCACCCTTTTTGTGTTTAAGTTTGTACCCAGTATAGGCAATTTTAAGGAGAATGGATCCAACGGGGTTTCCTTCAATTCTTGCTCTAAAATTGTATTGATGATCCTCCCATTATTCGCAGAGTTTTCCTTTACTCCTAGATCTTTATCATTGTAAATTATTATTAGCAATTGCGAATATAATTTTAAGCACCCAATAATAACAGCTGAATTTGACAAAAGCCCCGGCTTACCTAAAACAGCAACTAAAGCAGATATATTCCCTGGTAAAATATATGATAGTGTTTCCCCATGAGGTAGTATTTCAACATAAAGAGTTCTCAACGTTTCAATACATTGCAATTGCAGATCGATCACAAATGGCTCTGATTTTAACATTTCCAGACAGATCGATACCATATGCGTCATAATTGATAGCATTTCAGGTTTTTCTACAAAAAAGGAGCTATGGTATTCTTGTTTCTGCAGAGATCTGAGTAATTCTTGCAATAATTTGATGCCTTCTAATTTATAAGGTGATGACTTCTTAAGATACTCTTTAGATGATGGATCATTATTTATTAAAAAGTTGGTGATCATGAACAATTTCTTACATGTTTCCTTATCAAGAGATCCAGATTTGTGCCAAAATAACTTCAGAATCATCCTTGTTATCTTAAACACATATTCAATTGCCACATCACCTAATGAGTCCTGCTTTAATAAATGTGAAATAGGCAGGTACACATAGTCCCCCAGATTGGAAGGTAAATCATCAGCATCATTAATTTCACTCAGACAAATAGACAATTCCTTCAAAGAATCGATCAGTAGAGGTGAATTTGGATCAAAAGATTCCCTTGGAAGAAAGGCAACCCTAGACACTAAAACACATGGTTCTCTTAGCTTTTTGAAAACGGTTTGGCCTCGATCCATAGAGTGTTCGCAACAATAATCTTGTTTTTATAAATTCAAAACGACTGTTCGTCATTATTATGAATCGGGTGGGAAGAAATACTTAGCCTTCACATCTTCTTACAATATATTTTGATCAGAAATGTTGTTAATCTAAAGCGATGCCTGCGACACATCAAAATCCTAGAATTTCTACTTTTTCAAAAGCGATGGGGATGACCATGGCACTTTTTCAAGTTATGAATAATAAATCTATACAGTTAAATAATACTATTATATTACTTAGTTATCATTAACTTTTTGATATATGCTAGTTATATATCTAAGATTCAATCAATTAGCGATGCTTATAAATGGCTATATATTCTTCTTCAAAAACCTTGTAAATTATAAACCATATTTTGATAACTCCAATTCTTCCAAGGTATTTAGTTGTTCACCTTGCCCTTGCAAAACATCAGCAGCATTATCAATGAAAGGTAGCGACTCCTGGTGTGGTACCCAGATGACGTGTGCACCAAATGCTCTGCCTGATTGTACCCCAATTATACCATCTTCAAAAACAAGACACTCACTAGGAGAAATGGAGGTATTAAATTTGTCGTTTAAACTCTTCAATCCAACCTGCCATACATCTGGAAATGGCTTACCTCTTCCACTAGGAATCCTCTCATCATCACCAGTGACAATTGCATCAAACAAGTTAAAACCTTCACCTAAATGGCTAGTCTTTCCCTTGAACTTGATTTTATTTGAGGATGTACAGAGAGCAATAGGAATATTCTTAGATTTCAAGTATTTCAATAATTCCAATGCACCTGGTAAAAACGCTGCCGTTGGCCAGTAATCATTCTGAATTTCAATATTTTTTGTCTCTAACTCCTTTGGTGTTAATGGCAGCTTATAAGTTTCGATAATCTTCTTGCCAGCTTCAGGACCAGGTAAACCTTGTAATTGGATCTTGACGTCCCATGTCAAGGGACCAAGTCCATATTCTTTAAGAATACGGTTCAAAGTCAACGTATATATGTCTTCCGTATTGATCAATAGACCATCCATGTCAAACAAACATGCCTTTACTCTTTCAAACAAATCAAGCATTGGTATAGGTGGAGATAATATTTGAAATAACCTTGCCAATATACATTTGTTAGTGGTTTCATTCACCTTTATGATGCTTTCTGGAATAAGCTCCAAAATTGGACAGTCATTATAGATTAACATACTTCTCTGGATACGTCATGCTCACGATATGGTAATAATATCTGATTCTAGTAACTTATATGCACGTCACACAATTGTTCAGAAACCTTCTAATTTCCATGCTAAAACATTTGTAGCAACTAAATCAAACTGTAAATAGTGTTAAAATATTATCAAATATTGATTTTTCTTTTATAGTGGGGTCGATGACATGGAACTGAGATGACGTAATTCACTGTGTATAGAAAATTAGGTGGGGGTTGGTCAATGAATGAAATATACTTAGTAAAACTTATCTATTATGCCTTAAAAATGATCAAAACATATACATAATGATTTGGGATAAACCCGATGAAACAATTGTGCTTGGCGATCTCAATTAGTTTTACAATGGTGGTAGCGGAGATCTACAAACCGGACATTGAAGTTTATAACTCATCCAACTCTCAAGACATGAGGTATGGAACATGTGATCACAAGGTGTAATCATGTAGGAGTCCTTATCTACTTGGTGAGTTTCGGGTAGTTCCTCAACGTAGACAGGAAATTCAGCCATACATATGGCGCAATCAACTGTGTGATTCTCTGATCCACCATGCTCCATAAGATGTTGTAGCGATACCACGCGGTGATAAGAGTATTCTTCTGGTATCGAATGTTTTGGTAAGAACCAACGTGATCCCAAAATATCTTGCGAATATAACACAGATATCTGAAATAGCAGCCATAGTATGAGCAAAATCACAACCTTGCTATCTTTGTGATGTCTGAACACATTGGATGGGTATGAAAATATGTATATAATAGGAATGCATCTAATGGTTGTAGTTCCCAAAATGAATTGCCATAGTAACGGCCATTTATGCATTCTCCTATTCATTAATGTAATTGACCTCCTTCTTTCTTTTCTTGAGGGTAATCCCTTTATGCAGTTTCTTACAATTTGAGGCACCCAGTAGGAGTTGAACACAAATATCGCAATATACTCACTTATCAACCTCAATGGTCGAGGCCACGATGTCGAGAGAATTATTAGGAACAGTAAAATTAGCATGGCGGTGAAAAACTTACCGTAGTGTTCGTTGGCTATAGCAGCTTCATCGGGTATAACAACGTTTCTAGTGTTTTGTTGCTCTTCGTCTGATTGATGAGATCCTCTAAGCAAAGTCATAATACTAATACCCACCTCATTAACTTGAGATGCAAAAATAGATATGATGTACCTCATTTCAAAAATGGTGCTTAGTATGTATGACACAAATGCACTTGAAACCAATGGCAAATACAACTCCGGATAAGAGTTAGCAGTGGCAAAGTATACCATAGCAAGTGATCCATCCATTAGATTAATCATGAAAAAGGAAGTGTAGGATAACTTGTTAATTACAGATGGAGTGTTTGTGTGTTGCATTTGGCGAATCAGCAAGAACACTTGGCAAATAAACAAGAATGTGCCAAAAATAACATGCGATCTAATAGTTTTAACTAATAATTCATACCTGATACCATGCACCTTTTCCAATGAAAACGTATAGCCACAATCAGGTGAGTAAACTTGTCCACTTTTTATTGATATAGGAGGCATGCTACTTAGGTTAGCTGGTCTTCCCATTGGCCAGGTCAACTCATCCTCAATCATTTGTAATTGGTCTTCTGTATAACCCTCCCATGGTTCTAACTGCAAAAATATCATGTATTCACACCTATTCATTGAATTTTCATAAAAAGTGTTTAGTGAATGCATTGTTAATGTATCTACAACCTTTTTGGTTTCCCAATATTCTGATATTAGATTCTTCACATCAGAGAATATCTCAGAGTTTTTATCCAAGTTATCCTCCATATATTCCATGTAATGGGGAAAGGCAAATAATGGGTGAAACTTGGCGCTTGAGCTCATAAACAATACTCTTCCAGTCTCAACATGATATAGACCCAAGGAGCTAAAACTTACTTTCTCGTGTTCATCATAGTCGTGAAATTCAATATTAGCTGCTAGCATTTTCCAATTCGGATTCGAGTTAAACAATCGATTGTCGGGGCCATTAATTGTATCTGAGACTAGATCAAGATGTGAGACACTTATGCTCATCTTTCCACTGTCGTAGGTCATATTGGTAATCGCAGAGGGATTTTTGAAGTACATTTCTCCATCTGGAGGCTTGTTGTCCACAAAGTCTATAGCTGATCTATAAAATAAGGGAATAGGCATCTTGATCGGAGTGTACTCATTCCCTATTACTAACGTTTCACCTTTCAGTAAACTAGTTATATTTTTGGGAAATAGTATATCCTTCTCTTTGTATGTTGAATCATTCCATATGTTATGTTTTATATTGCTAATAACCTCATTAGGCAGGAGCATGTAATTTTGGTTATGAAGCCAGTTATCGTAGTCCTTACCTTCAATTGGGTACGTAGCATTAAGATCTGGATCATTTAGAGAGTCCTCGTAGCTTAGTTTTAGCCCTGTTATATTCCTAAAATTGCTTGTTATTGTGGTGTTCTTGAAAGATTCGTACTCATTTTTATATTGTTCTTTGCATAGTTGCAACTGATTAAATTCGTATTGAGACGAAATTCCATCCCCGCCCGGCGAAGAAAATAAAATAAAGAATATTATTATTGTTATCACCAAAGTATTGAAATTAACCTCCATTGTGGGCAGATATTAAGTTATTTGAAGAGTTGATCCAATTCTTGGTCTTAGCACTTTACCAGCTATTTCAATACTTAATCGCAGATGCCGATAGCATTTACAGTTCTAAATGAAATTCGTGAATATCCTTTTATAGCAGAAAATAGGCGTTATTGAAGTATTTCGTCTTTGCTTTAGTTCTGAATTATGCAGTTGCAGTAAGTATTTTAATGTTGTTCGTTTCTATGACTATGGGGCTTTACGTTTATAACATACACAGTGCTTTTCCTTTTCTCCCTTTAAATGATCAGGTGCGTGGCAACCTTCGTAGTGATAATTTAGTGATTTGGGGGTGATAGACAAGTATAACAGGTATTGATAAAGATGCTAGATTAGAGTTAAAAACATTTATAATATAATATTCGTGATTGTATCCTTGCTTTATAAAAACTTTTATGGAATTATATAATTTGGGTAGATGTATAAAGGGCCAGTTGAGGTACGCAGTATTCTGTGACAACTTTTCGTCACGCTGATTTGTCTAGTTAAGAATGAATCAACGATACGCACCTTGGCGTGCCCCTAATACAACCTATTGTTAAAGTAAACAAAAATTGAGTGATCGATACAAGCTTCTGATTCTTTTTTGTTAACTAATAATTGAAATCCAAAGGCTTTGTACATAACTCTCTAACAAGGAGAGGTGGGTAATCAGGAGACGCAGAATGATGATAGACTAGAATTAATATTAGGAAAGGGAGCTATCATCTTCAAAATTGCATTAAATTTCCATTATTTCAAAAAAAGCATTAGTACATTTTGTGATTCGAAAGAACACGTTATAATCATTTCAAAATCATTAAAGGGCTGTTTTGGTGGGGAATGGTCACTACCAAAACAAATAGGAAAACTTTTTTATTAAAAAATTGCATTGAATGTATCGGTAATTGATCGATTTCAAGGGTGAGACCTCAATTTGACCAAGTGGCATAGAGTACAACAACATAGAAAGATAAGTAGAATCAAAAATAGAGCAGACATAGAGATTTAAAAAAGTGTCTATGAAGTAGCACCTCCTTAATCTTGATGACTGTTTAGTTCATTTTCATACTTGTAAAATAATCAATGTTCCAAGATTTGCAAGTTACCAGTGATGACAACATTTTCTAGAACGGAACCGTTTGGAATATCGATCTTTTGACCGTCTGAGCAAACGATGATAACGGTACCTCTTAGAGTGACACCTTTACCTAAGAACACGTTACCTGTGATGGTTAAATGATCCAATTCCACTAGTTTTGGAATGTGTGGAATTCTGGCGCTGAAATCAGAGACCTTCTTGAAGTGGGAACCCAACTTGATCAATGGGTTTGGACCAAATCTTGATGGATCTAATTTTAGAGCACCATGTTGCAAGTAAAATAGATCGGACTTCACTAGCAGCAAATCAGAGCATGTCTTGACAGGCAAGAATCTTGATCTTGGGACGACAACACCGTGAGCACCGCTAAAGTGTCTGATGGCGGCACCACAGGCGGTTTCTAGCTGTAGAACGTTGATTTCTTGACCACCTCTGGTGATGGTCTTTTGGTTTGGAATAATCTCCATTTCCAAAGCGCTGGACTCCACTAATCTCTTAACAGCCTTCAAGTTGATCCACAAATTGTTGGTGTTGAAGTTGGTGAATTTTCTGATGTTCTTGAATTCATCAATGTGCTCCTTTGGAACTTGGGCGACTTCCAATAGACGGACTTGGCCATCGTAAGAGATCAAAGTACCACCTTTAACATCGGCTCTGGTCTTATCGGTCAATTCCATGATGTATTCGGCACCTGTTTCGATCATGTGGTTTAGGATCTTTAGGTCGACAGTGGCACCCAAGTTGTCACCGTTGGATACGAATAAGATTTCTCTGCCTTGTGCGATTAAAGCGTCCAATTCACCGGAAGCGTGTAGGGATTCGAACAAGTCACCATGGCCAGGTGGGTACCAAGCGTCCTTTGGATCGTTGTAAGTTTCTGGGACAGGCAGCATGGAGTCCTTGTAAACACGAGGGAATCTGGATTGGTTGAAAGATCTAATTCTGATTCTGTTAGCAGAGTACTTCTTGATCAAGTGTTCTGTGTCCTTGTCGGTGTTGAAAGAGTTCATTAGCAACAATGGCACGTCACTGTCGTATTGTCTGTTCAAGTGCTCGATCTGTCTAACGGACAAGTCCAAGAAGGAGTTACCTTCTCTAACTTCGATCACGGACTTTGGACCGACACAACCCATAGAGGTACCTAGACCACCGTTCAACTTCAGCACAGCTAGCTTAGACAAGCTGGAGACGTTCTCAGCCTGAGAGTTGATAGTGTCGTAACGGACAACTTCCTCAGGGTTAGGGGACTTGATCTTGTCCCACTCCAAAGTGTTAGAAGAGGACTTCTCGACCAAGTATCTTCTGAAAAGAGTGAAGAAAGAGTCCAACTCGTTCTCGAAACGGGTACGGGCATCGTCACCGTGCTCAGAGCCAATTGAGTCTGCTAACTTGTTTAGCGCGTTTCTCATTTGAGATGCAGCAACACTGTTGGTGTTGCTCTCGAATGCATATGTAGAATGTGTCTTTGTGTGTTTCTTAGCAGTAGACATGGTACCACTTCTGTTATCTTGTCAATTGATTAGTAATTTGTTTTGGTTTACTGTGAAATCAATTGAGTTGTCCTTTGGAGAGAGAAAGAAATACGTCGAGAAAGGGAGCTCCCTATTTATATTCCACGAAAAATTTGAAGGGGGGAGAAGAGAGAAGAAAAAATGGAGCCAAGGGGGGGGGGATACAAGGGAAGACCGCTTGCTGGGAGGACAAAAGACAAAAAACACCAAAAAGATTTTGTTAGTTGGAAATGTCACAAAAAAAGTGCAAAATGTCACAAACAAGGACAAAAATGTCAAGACTGTTAGGAACAACAGAGAAACAGACGTAGTCCCACCCCTTCCATATTATGGCATCGAATGGGAAGGAGAGAGAAGGGGGGGAGACAACCCAGTGGGAAAGGCAAATGTAGGGACCTGAGAAACAGCCGTATTCTATAATGAGGAAGGGGGGGGGGGACTAGAAGTAGTATATCATAAGAAGGGCTACAGAGCGTGCTGTACTAGTATTGTTAAACAAAGGGTTCACTCAAGGGGGGTTACGAAGTTGAGTCAACTGTCAAACGGGTTTTCCGCAACTGCAGGTGCTGGATGTGCAGGACAAGGGGGGGGACACAAGAAACGCGGAGAGGGAGGGGCAGAAAGGCGGGATAAGTACTCGATTAGCAACTATAGAATACATACTTGGCAACACCCAAAAAAAAATAAAGTGGGGGTAAAAGAGAGTGGTAAAAGGGGATACTATAATAAGGTAAATAAGGAGGGGCAATGGACTAGTACGGATATGGCTTATAATTTATGAAGGACAGGTACATAATGGCCTTATTGTGGTAAAAACCCTAGTTCCATGTCATCCAGCAGGTTCCATCCGGTGTTGACTAAGCTTACCACCAAGGGGTCGACAGCTTCAGGTTTTGGAACGTTGGTGGTATCGTAGAACAATCGTTTTAGCACAGGTCTTTGTCTCTTCTTAGCATCTTCGTCATTTCCTTGCAGCACGTCTTCTGATTCAAATGTCTTGAATCCGTGATCGAACAACTTCAGAGGCTTGATCATGCTTAGCAAGCTCGCTATCTGTACAACATCGTTCATGGAGTTTGACAGCTTGTATACTAAGTCCTGGGATGTGTTCGCACGTTTCAATTTCATATCTTCTTCGTGATCTCCAGGTGTGGCATTGTTATTTACACTATTGCCGGTGTCATCTTGAACGTTTAGTGTCATAACTACACGGATCAATATCGTTGGCGTCATTTTGATTAGTTCATGGATATTGTGACTTTCATGAAGGATTGCCATCGCGAACGGCGATATGACACCACGCGATATATCAGAATATACAATGTCGTTACTATGTTCCAGTCCCAACAACCTCCGGTAAAAATCGTTACCAGAATTGGTCTTATTGCTATTTGAGATAGAGTCAGTGCTATCAGTGTTCTTGTTCGATAACATGTCCTCCATCCTTTGAGTTGGAGTAACAGGTCGGTAGTTTAGATCTATACTGTTTGTGGGATTCAGTCTCATTATTAGAGTTAGCAATTGCAATATCACTGATATCAATGAACAAAGTGATTCAACAATTTGTTCCAGTCTCTTGAGGTCCATGTTTACAAAATTACCATTGTTGGCATCCATTAAAGACAAAAGTTGATAGGTAAACGAACTTTTCATTATCAACATCTTGTGGAACAACTGAGAAATACATAGCGGTTGTTGGTCAAATAATTCCAACCCTTTATTTTCCTGAAGAAAATTGTCATAATCTCTGTTGTTAGATAATTTTTTCAGATTGAAAACAATATCAGTAGCATTTGCCTGGTTATTATTTGTGAGAGTAATAATATCAAAATGGTTCATTATAATCCTATTACTTGCTATCTCGCTTAAGGTTTCTCCCAGCTTTAAACTTATCAGTGCACCTTTTTCCCTCACAAGACTATCCTCTATGTTCCATTTGGAATTTGTTGTTCCACTGAAAAACTTTTCTGTTGTATTGGTTATGCAGACATTTAATAATTTAGGACCGCCAAAGAGACAGCTTTGTAATGAGTCAAACATCGTAAGCAAAATATAAAGGCGTTTGAACATGATAGTATAATTTTCATTTGTTTCGGTTTCCTCTTCGATATTGACAGCTTTGCCTATTTTCGATCTAATTTGATTTCCTTGGTTTTCATTCCCCTCACCGCTTCCTCCCTTTTGACTGTTCTGCTGCTCCTTACTAGGGTTAAAGTTAGTAAGGGCATTTTCACCTTCATCATTATTAGGTTCACCAGGAGTACTACCATTAGTGCGGTTACCGTTACCATTGCCTATATTTTTATTCTCAATGAAATCATCATCCAGACTGATAGACTGCTTTGCGTTAAATGAGAACTCGCTATCCTGACAAATAGCCTTATAAGGCAGCACCAATAATTTGTATAGTTTGAACTCATTAAATATTGTCACAGACATGCCGAGCACAAATGAGTTGTCGTATCCGACTAGTGCTAAAATGTAGTTTAGTAAAATAAATGTGGTTAAATAGATAATCTTGATCTTTGGGGAGATGCGATCTTTGTTTTCTCGTACCTTGGGGTGAATATCTACAACTCTTTGAAAGCACTCATTCAATGCAGAAATGAAAGCACTTTGGACCTCTGCCATTCCGTTATCATCGCCAGAGCTTATGCTATCTGCATGTGAACTAGTGATGTCCTTCTTTTTCGGCGTGTCATTGAAAGCCATATTTTCGTCACCAGACGCTGATCTCAAAGGGCCAGGTGTATTGTGACTATCAAAAAATGGTGAATCATTTTTCCTTTTTAGAGCAACACGTACAAGGAGTTCTAAAGAATTCCTAAACCATAATATTACATATGAGTTCACCTCATGGATATTAGAATATGGGTGTGTATTTACAAGTAAGATATCATTTGTTAGAGTTTGTTTGTTTAACGGAATAACTGGGAATCCCACATGAATGAATTCATAATAAAGATCAATTAACTCAACATCCAGAATTTGCCCATATTGAAAGCCAGTCTTTATTTGTTGCACAGGAGTTGGAACCTTAGGTGAATTTATAGAGTCAGAATCAAAATTCGATTTTTTGTTCACCTTCAGCTTTTTATTGGATTCTTTTACCTGTTTGGTTTTTCTTTTTCTCGGTACCTTTCCTCCTTTCTTACCACCTGATTTCACTTTATCTTCAGACTTGTCAGCATTACTTTCAATGGTATTAGCAAGATTTTGTTCGCCAAACTGGAAAATGTCGTTCGAAACTTCTGTTTTGACTACTTTTTGACTATCATTTACCCTAGGATCTGATTCCTTGTTCGGGAGCAAAGAAATATCGCTTATATTTGGATTATTGGCACCAGGTAAATTGTTTGAATTGTTCTGGTTGTACCCTAAAGCAGTACTTGGTGACATTGCTTCACTGGTGATGGAACCATGCCTCGATTGGAAGCCATTCGTTGAGAATTGGCCAAACGAGGAAAAATTCTGGTTATTATATGGTTTAGATTGGTTGAGGAATTGAGAATAAGAATAAAGTTGTTGAGACTGGCGTTGAGCTTGAGGGCTAGCGGAGCCCACAGCATTGTCTATATTATTACCCAGTCCTGCAGTAGATCCAGTTCCTTTGTTGTTTATGAGATTGCTGTTATCATTTGTATTATTAAAGTTGTTAGAAGTGCTTCCAGCCCCGTTCGTAGGGTGTGGTAATTGTGGTTGGCTAAGCAATATTGATGTCGATGTATTCCGAAGTATTGAAGGGATAGAGCTTGATCTCCTTTGTAAATTCTGGGGAATTTGGTCATCATTTTCATCCCCGTTTGGTATGAAAGAACCAGCTCTTACTGAGCCCCAATAATTGGGATTTCCAGATAATAAGTCGTTTGCTCCTACTACACTACCAATATTACTGGTAGTAGTTAAGTGTTGTGATTTTGTATTTGGAGGTATGGAGTTTGTAGGATCCGATGAGTGTTTCATAGCAATGGGTGACTGTTGAAAGGTATTGTATACTAACTGATCTTGAGGATTGAATGTCCGTACAGATAAATCACTTTGAAGTGACTCGATGGAACCTCGCCGCTGGTTCTGAAACTCGTGGTATGGAACTTTCCAAAACGGCTGTTGTTGTTGTAATATGGTACTATTCAAGCTTGTCGAATTCAACATATTATTGGAGGCTGAAGTGCTGTTGTTTGTATAGTTTTGTTGCTGAGGATACTGGCCTAAAGGCGGCAGAAGTATCGATCCAGACCTCGATGGTGTGCCAGGATCAGTTGATCCACCTAATCTATCATCAATTCCTCCCATATTCCTGTCGTTTATACCAGAATTTGAATTGTTATCTAAAATGGGTGTGTTACTGCCATGTCTTGAGAGTGGGTCCATGTTAGAATCTTCTCCAACAGATTTCGGCCTTATTATTGAGTTTGAATCCTCGAAAAGTGAACTTTTCGAAGGCTTATTGGAGCTCAATTTTAGTTCTGGATCAGAGGCCTTATGTGCGCCTTTTGAAGGGCCTCTTTTCAGTGGTACTCTTTCAAACTTGCATCTTTCTCCATTGCGCTGGCACGATGTACAGATATTTCTCTCTTGATTCCTATCACATTTTATCTTTTTCCTACGGCATTGATCGCATGCCCTGGATACATTTGTTCTTTTCTTATCATTATTGTGTGGCATAGTGTATTAGAGTGTAACCAGATTGGTATTGTTTTAGTACGTTAATCTGTTATTGCAAATAATTAGAAATTAGATCTTTATCTTGACAAATTACCTGGCTTTCACTAACGCTATTAGTGGTAACAAATGCAGATCAGAAATAAAAGAAAAGAAAAAGATAATAGAACCTTTGAGGTAAAGCGCGTCAGAGAGATAAATAATACTTATTTCGTAACTTCTTGTAGCTTCCTTGTTCTTGAATCTTTTTTATTTTGGTGGGAAGTCCTTTGATTTCAAACCGATGTATCTCTCTCAATTGATATCGCTTCGCATAGATCGGTTATATTGAAATCTCAAACTGTAAAAGCCTCCTGCCCTTTCAAGTTTCTAATAATTATATGAAAAGGTGTGTCACAAAATGTAATATCCATACAAGTTGATGGTATATATCCGAGGTAAAAAGAAGGTCTGATAATATCACAGACACACACCAAATGTCGATTATCGAGAGGGAGTTCGTGGTTATGCGAGAAGTACTGCTTTTAGCAATGTATCTTCTGTAAATGAGTTAAGGTTATCGTAGTTATTCCAATAGTAAGTAAGTATTATCAAAGCGTTGCGTAGAGTTCTCAAATTTTAGATCTTATTATTCTTAATTTTTCTTTCTTTCCTTCTCTCTTTGGCTTCTCTTCTTCCCTGATGCCCACTCCGATCGTTGCTTCCTTCAGGATGAAAATTTGATTTTTTTGTTCCCGGGGGTGCCTCAGACGATGAAGCGTACAAATTTATGCTGAGAGAATGCCCCTAAGGACCTGAAAATTGCGAAGAAATGGCTAAACAAAGGTGTATACAGTACGCTGTTTGCAAGAGATAGTGAAGAAGTTACAACACCGATAACAATTAGTATCTTCTGTTGAAACAATATAAGTAGTGTATGTTAGTTTTTATTTGCTTTGGCTCGGATATCAATCGATATTAATGGGGGTACAAAGTATGGCAGAAGTGTCTGATCCAAGTATCTCACAACGTCGCCCACTTAGTTCCCTACTCCAAACACACAAAGCTACAGGTTCCCGCCTCAAACTCTACTATTGGCACATCAGCAGCCCCCCCTTTCATGGGCCTCATTTACTACTGCTTGGCGGTGCTGCAATATAAGCTGTGCAGGGCGAGCTGGCCTCTAGCGGGCCATATCTATTGTATCACTAACACAGCTAGAGCTAATCTACTGGGTCCTATTGGAAACTCAGGTACACACATATAGGAAAAGGGCAGAACCCCCCCCCCTAGGAGACTGCAATGAAGTTGGCGCACGAATCATAATGCCAGCATTTTCCACTACACACTTGTCTATGGCTGTTTCACAACTTCTTGTGTATTCCCCCTTCCCTCTGTCCTCCCCCCCACAGCTATTGATGAAACTGTAATTCTCAGACAAGACACCGCAGCAACGAAGAGAAAATAGGAAACCACGTTAGCTTCTGTGTTAGCTGTCCTGCCTTTCTCCTTAGCGTTAAGCCTGTACCCTGTAGCCGTCTGAGCATCAAAAGGTCATCCAGTCCCTCCATCGCTTCCCAGACGCAAGTGCTAGTGATATATAGTGAATGATCGTAGAGGGTCCTTTTCCCAACACCTGCACCTCATTCTCCGCGTTACTCCTGCTTTTCTCTGCTCCTGCGGCTTCCTCGCTTCCATTGTTTACACATCCTCCCAACCTCTGTTCACTAAGCAGAGGGACCCATTATTCGTCCGGAGATCCTTTTCAGCACTGTAACAAGGAAAGAGAAAAATATATTGCCCTATAAATATATTGTCCTATAAATATATCGTAGCAAAACATTCAAGAAAAAATCCTGTCCGCAGCGAACTATACGTAATTTTCTGATTCTGTATTCCTCATATTGCTGAGATAATCCACTAACACCAATGAAATCGATGGGAGCATTCAGATCCGCAATTACCAAACTGGACTAGATCCGGGTAAAGTCTACCCGGCCTAACTTATTTGAGCGTTTGAGTGTTTGTCGGTGAGCCGTGAAACACCTCTGCAGTAACTCTGGCTAGTGCAGTGTTCGATCCTGTTGAAGTTCGGCTATGGGTTTGCCGAGACAGCAGGAGCTCTCTACAATGAGGGCAGCATTGTCTGCTTTTGCCCATTTACTACAGGGTACTACAGTGTGAGGGTACTACAGGATGTGTGTGTAGAAAGATATATCAGATATAAACTATTGGTCTCATGTCTGTTACTTCTCCTGAAGAGATGAAACGAATCGAAGAGCTGGGTTTATAGCAATAAATTGTCATCTTTTGATGACGTTATCATCATAAACATTTCTTATTTCACACACTGCCTGTTTTCAAGTAATGCCAAAGCACGACCAAGTGAGGAAACGTGTTCGATGTCTTACCTATGTTAAAGTATCTCTATCGTCATCGAACATGTGCCTATCTTCTGATAAGTCCACTCAGTTGGCTTGCCAGCTATTTGGTAATTATACAGCACCGCTTAGAAGGCATTCTTATAATACCACCAATGGAGTCTGCATATCCACTCTTATATTTCATTTAAGAGGGAATTGGATAGTTCGAATTTGAGGAATACACCGATTATAAGCGGAAGCAAAGGAAAATTTTTAAAGCTTCGCAGAGCTTTTTATAACAGGCAAAATCATATCAGATATGAATAATTTTGTACGTGACTGTAAAAGTCGAGATCGAAAGTTACCCGTATATCACAACTGGAGGGTATAGGGCATAATAATTAGCTCGGCACTAGTTTCAATTTAGGTCATATAGCTCTAGGAGCATTTGAATGTGTAACTAATGTATTGTAGAATACTTAATATATACAATTTCTTTGGTGAATAGTCTGGGAGTAGGTTAGACTGTACTGTAGAATAAAATACATAATGACAAATGGAATTGACTTTTATTGTCCTTAATTAACAGCCTATTCCATTGGCTAGACAGAACTGGCCTAGATTTTGTTTACCAGTCTATAACTTTGAGTCAATTTAAGGTTTGTTTGTTGAATCAGAGTCATCGTTGGTGTTGTTAGTATTATTAGCATCTCTGAAATTGGATGGTACCTCTTCTTCAGTGATTATACTTATGTCGTCGACTAAGTTGTTGTCCAGGTCCTCGTTATCATCCTCAAATGATTGCAAATCTCCTAAGTCAAAATCAGCAACGTTTTCTGGGTCAGTCGGTAGTTGTTGGGAAGCTGCCAACATGTAACTAGTGTCCGTTGGTCTCCACATAAAAGCAATAGCACAGAAAACCACAAAATATACCAATGATGGCCAGAAATCGGTGAAGAAGAATCTTGTACGCCAGTCTCTTTCGATCATTTCTATGGTGTTCATTCCCAAGTAGAAAACGGATGATACAACAATGCCTGCTGATAAGATGATGAATGAACACCATATAACTAGCAATAAGTTTCTGTACATTTTCAGTTTTACCACTTGTCTTTGTTCTTTCAAATATTGGGTTGTCTTACTCATTGCTCTGATAATTAGGAAATAGAAAACGACCATTGACAGTAAGAATGGGATAAATGTTATCATAATAAATGGCGTTGGATCCTCGATATCAACAGTGTAGCTATGGATCAAGAAAGCAACACAAAGAGCAAAGGAAAATATGGTGTAAAATTGGCATTTTCTCATCAACGATTTGTTCAGTTTAGGATACACTATACCATAACCTAAAGCCACAATCAAAAGTAAGAAAAAGGAGAAGGTGGCTTTACCAGCTGACATTATTGACAAGAATACCATGTATACTGTAGTTCCTGCAGTAATCCCCTTTTGGTTAACGATATCATAATAAGCCCAAACAAAAATATTCTCTGTGGTCAAAAATACGAAGAAGGCAAGCAGGTACTTTTGTAATGGCAAAAGCTCATGCTTATGCTTCCAGAAAGCAAAGGAGTATAATGCCATAGCAACACCATAGGCAATGGCTAGCAATCCATACATTGGCAATTTATTGATTTCTGCACCGGCAAGTTGACCATATGAGTTCCTGAAGTTAACCTCTGCAGCATATTTAGATGACTTATAGTTTTCTGAGTCATAATACAGCGGTCTTGCCATAACACAGTAAAACCCAGTCTTAACAACAGAGTATTTTGTATCATGAAGGCCAGTAGTAGATTGGGAGAAAGTCATGACACTGTTCTTCATACTTTGGTTTTCGCCAGTTTCAGGATCATATATGGTGTCTTTGATTATGAATTCATTTAGATGCTCTTCTTCACAGACACCTCTCTCCACCGCGGCATCATCACAGATATAAGTCTTGTATGGACTGTCACCTTCATACACACCAATGTGTTGATAATCTTGGAAATCATAAATGACCACGACAATTGTATCATCATCGAAGTTACTGCTGAACTTTTTTAAGTCAAACGAGATAAACGGATCCACTTTGCCATGGAAATCCTGCTTTGAGTACATACCAGAACATACTTGTTCATACTTGTGGCCTATTGTCTCTTTATTTGCCAGGACCGCCGACAGTAGCTGTACCAGAAACACCAGTAAAAACTTATGTGCAAACATTTTACCTTCTCGAAAAGTGTACCGTATCTCAACTTTCTCTTAGAAGCAAAAATTTCCCTTGTTCTTTCCTCCTCAGCTAATGTCAAAACGAATTATAATTTAACGTATTGTCCAGGTATTACTTTAAAAGGGGACCAGCTTGAAAATGACTTACTTCCTTCTGGTTTATCTTTCCTTTTCAACAAAAACAACTGCAATTATAAAATTGCCACGAAATGCTCTAAAGTAACTATTCTTTGTAAGTCTAAGAGTAAGAATAATCTGGTGCAAAAGTACTATCATTGGTAGAACTGCACAATTTAAAGGAAAAAATCTAACGCAAGATTACATTTTCTAAGATTGTGAAATTCGCCTCGAAATTAAAATATTGAAGCCGGGTAACATTCTAATGAAAGAAAAGGAGTTAGTTAGAGCCATTGCATAGCTATACTGTGGACGAGGTTAAGCTTGTGTAGTTATCATATAAGTAAATTGTTTGCTGGAATCATAAGTTGTCGTCCCATAACTTGATAGACACATTTCGATTTATATTCAATTACTGTTATTAAGATTAATAGAATAAATTTCTTTTCGTATCTTTTTATGGTACAGTGTGACTATGAATTATAGATATTGAAGTAAAATTAACGTTTTGGCCACTCTGTGAATATATCATTCTCGCTCTCAACTGTTGGCCAGTGTAAACACTTCCTATTTGTTACAAGTATAGTTTATTCTATTGCAGTAAGATACAGGAATATTGCTTGAACAAGCTAGAATATGTATACTTACTAAAAGTTGTTAGGAAATGGAGGTTAGAGAATGAGTGCTATCATTTAATTGCTTAGTGAACACTATAATTTCAAGTATAAGTAATCAATCCTATATATATTTTTTCTGGTAGCAGCTACTGAAGATAGCCACTGACTACTCAAGTGAGTCAGTAGTAATATTTTCTAACAAATTCCCATGGAATATATAGTTTTCTCTTAAATATTGTAAAGTCTACTATAAGTCTTCTGTAACTCTACTTTAGAACAAGCTGACTAATGTAATGACAGCAAGCTGGAAGAAATGATGTCTAAACAACACAAAAAACGAGAATAAAAGTAAGGTCTGAGCAGTGAAAGATGAGTACAAATAGACTCTTGAAATTAATAATGACTTTTCTTGTTTGTGTATAAAATTCATTGCAACCTTCCCTATATAAGCGTGTCAACTATTATATGAATATATTTGACCTGCTAGTTCTGCGCAACATCAAATAAAAGGTAAGCAATATTACGTTAGGTTTGAAAACTGCCAATACCAAAGGTGAGCAGTAGAGATATTATACAAACATTAAAGAATCAAACAATTAACTATGATTACGAACAGATTGATGAACAAATGTGTTAGCAGTCCTCTGAGATCAGTTACTTGGAGAAGGTTGATTACCATTCAAACTTTAACTACACCTAACGAAAATGCTTTGAAGTTCCTCAACAAAGACAATGAGCTCTTGCAGACCAGAGGCAGTAAGAGTATCGTCATCAAAAATACAGACCAAAACCTAATAAGTCATTCTGATCTAGCATCCAAGATTTTTGCACAGTGTCCCGGCGTGGAATCTCTTATGATCGGTGATGATTTTCTTACAGTCAACAAGGACAGCCAAGTACCATGGGCTCAAATTCAATCTGATGTGATAGACTTGCTTACTCAACAATTGGCCTCAGGCAAGAATGTTATTTCTGATGAGTTTCACGCCATTAAAGAAGATAATGAAGCTGGATATCAAATAAATGAGATGAAATTTGATTTGACAGAAGAAGATGAAGAAATAAAAGAACTAATAGAGGAACTAATAGAAACTAGAATTAGACCTGCTATTTTAGAAGATGGTGGTGATATAGATTTCAGAGGATGGGACCCCGAATCTGGTACTGTTTATTTGAAACTGCAAGGTGCATGCACTTCCTGTTCATCCAGTGAGGTCACATTGAAGTATGGTATTGAATCTATGTTAAAGCACTACGTGGATGAAGTCAAGGAAGTGATCCAAATGATGGACCCTGAACAAGAGATTGCTTTGAAAGAATTCGACAAGTTAGAAAAGAAATTACAGTCCAAGGACGAAAATGATGGCACAACTGCACCAGCAAGCGCCAGCTAACATCAACATCCAAAAATATTATTGTAGAGTCGAGTGCCTATATGTATTATCATCTATGCAGAGACATCTATGACTAATGCTTAGATTTTGAGAATGCGTAGCTTTAACTCGTATTTATTATCCGCTTATTGTACATAGTTCCCATTTTTAATTATATAGTTAATGCAGTTCTTACTAATCCATGGTTTGGGACTCGTGTGCGAGATTTCGGCGAAATCATATGCAACTAATTCTGAAGCGCCCTCAGACGATCCCTCATATCATTTAGCATTTTATCAGCTTCATCCTCAATCTCTTCTTCGGGCACTTCTTGCTCTTCTTGCTCACTTTTAGGCAATTCAGTAGTTGGCACATTCTCCACCTTGGCGAGTTTCTCAGAAGTGTATTGTTCAACAATCTTATTAACTTCTTCATCAACTTCATCATTGAGTTCATCTGTGTCTCCGATAGACTCCATCGTTTCATCAATCATTTCGCTTATTATCCCTGATTTCATCAACTCTTTCTCTAGCTCGATCATAGTACCTTGAAGTTGTGGTAATCTCACTAGGGAATTAACTTCCATCATCAAACCCGTACTGCTTGCCATCTGATTAGATAACGTTCTCATCCGAAATGCCTCATCAATTTTCATACTTACAGATTCCAACTGCGCTTTAGAGGTATACATTCTGGAATATTGCTTATTTATATGATAAAGTTCTTTGGCATATAAACGTACATTCCTGACATCGTTCTTTTTAGCGGACTTCTTGATCAACGATTGCGTTTTGTTCTGGAGAGCACTCAACTCTCGAAGCGACTTATCTATTTGCCTCGAGTTCTTCCTCAAAAGTGACTTAATATTCCTCTGTTGTTCCTTCACATCTGGTCCCCATATTGCTGTTTTCACGTAGTCCATTCTTCAATATTCTCGTATGATTTATGTTCTAGCTGTGTATATAGTAGCTAATTCAATCGGACTTATTTATACCTAAGTTTTGTTTAGTAGTTTTATTTTTTTTTAACCCGTGTAAGGGGAATTTGTCGAGCTATGGATAGCGAACTTGCTCAGGCGATGCCTATCGGTCATACGCTATATAGAAAAATTATAGTAACTTTTATGACTATATGAAGTTCATGATTCTAAACAGTTCACAATGAAGAAAAGTGAAAATGTTGCGCTTTTTATTGTATAGGTGGGGCTGAATTTTCACTTCTCATAATTTTCAACCATTGAATTACCTACATGGATGTCTCAGCGATAATATTGTAACATCTGTTTGTTTGTATCCTTACATTTAATTGTACCTCTCAAACTACTGACGATTTCAATATATAACAAATCACTGATTTGTGTCAGGGCTTTATGAGCATTTGGTATAGTAAAATATCAGTACATCTAGGGATAGTATCAATCTCAAAACCCAAACGACGTTAAAAACCAAAAACAACTGATAAGAGATAACTAGAAACCTTTAGTTAGATCATCTTCCTAATATTTAAATGATTTTTTTTGATTTTTTTATATTTTTATATTCTTTTCTTATATGTATATAGTTAGTATATAGAGCTAATTCAGCGTGATAAGCAAAAGATACCTAGTACCTTATCAATAATCATGAAAAATAAAGCAAAAATACTAGAAATTATTCATCTTTGAATGCTGTTTAGCACTTGCATGTTTGACACTTGCAAGTTTGGCAGGAGCATTCATTGGAAGCAGAGTTTGTGCAAGCACATGCTGGCTTGGCACAGCAGTTGCAAGTATTTTCACAAGCACAGTTGGAGCAGTGGCAATCGTATTGGCAGTTGACTTGTTCAGGCATTTCGAAGCTATATTAAATATTAGATGTTGTGTATCAGTTGAAGTTTGTAGATATTGTTGATGTGTTGATTCGATATATAGAAGAAAGGATGAATGGGAGAAATGAATTCCAAGTTTCCCAGAAATGGGCAGTTACGGGTGCTTTATATATTAGTATTTTTTCTATTTTATTTTTAGTTTTGGGTATGCGGTTATTGATAAATTCAACGCCAAAGCAAAAAGCAAATATGTATATTACTGATAGGCACTAAGTCAGCCGAATTCATTTCGCTTCCACTAAATTCCGCTGAAATCTAGACACTGCTGATTGCCATTTTTTATTAAGCTGTGGCAGTGGACACCAATGTCTCAAAAAAAGAACAAAAATATTCATCCAAAACCTTTTTTTCTATTTTCGCTGATTCCCTTTAATTCTCAGGGCAATCAATCAGCTAAATCTAGCGTTGCCTTATCTAATGGACTCGGAAGAAGATATCGTATGGATAGGAATGACTTCTCGGATCCGAGTCTAAAGAGTATGGTCATTGGCATCAGGCCATGACGAATGCGATGGACATATGGTAAATCACGGAGTAGCCATGCACCCTGTCAGCTAAAACATATCTTGGATTCTTGGGGTCTAAACGATCCCGGGATGTAAATCAGCTTTAAGAATTCAAATGATGTATAATATTGCTTTATCAGAGTACTAGAGAAAACTTTTTTTGCTGAGCATTTGATATAGATAGAGCTTGCTGTTTCGTATTCAAGAGCAAGTATGGTTGTCAAGTAACGTAGTGTGGTCAATTATAAATGCTTTCGCCGGCCCTTAGATCAGACGATAATTACACAAACTGTTCTGCATGTTTAGTAGACCGGATTGATTTAGTCAAAAAAATATTTCAATGAGCTCATTGTTTGTAGCTTTTACAAAAAACATTTGAAAGGGGTATAGTAATAGTTTCAATAAATTTACCAGTATTATGAATAACTCGAACACACAGTGCAAACATTTATAAACAATCCACTATAATTGTGTTTTGTATCGAACTAAATTTGGCTCAAAAAATACCTTTCTATTTTCACTGATATTATATAGAAACTAACAGAAGTTTCTCGTCTTATCAATACTTCATCATGCGACAAAACTACCAACAATATGCCAAACTACTTTCAGCTTAAAAAATGATCTTTCTGTGAATCGTAATTAATATAAACACATGAGTGAATAAGTTTATTTTCACAACAGGTGTCTAAAAAATTGATCCTCTCTGAGGATGTCTATAAACAATATTACTAAATCAATGAAGTTTCTGAAATTATTTATAGTTCAAAGTTGAGCAGGTGGACATGCCACTGTACCTTATACACCAAGATGAAACACATAAGAGAGAGCCGCCAAACAAAAGAATTGGAAAATATATAATATTGAGGATTTTATAACATCGAGTCATACATTTTTATGAAACGTGAAATGCATTCTCAAAGGGTATATAAAGGGCCTATAGCTTGTTCTACTTTTATTCTTGATTATGTACCATCCAGAATATTGATCTGGTATTCACTGGAGGGCATTTCACTGATAAATAAAGTTGGTTTCTTTTTTTCTCTGGAATTTGATCTAAAAGTGCAGCTAATAAATAACGTATTAGAGAATTGAATTTAAATTTTTCATCAGTGACCTTTGTTAACCAGGAGCAAGACCTATTTCAGTATTACTAGTAATTAATTGGGTAAGGTATTTTTTTTAGTATTATAGTGTTGCATAAGTTTTGGCTGGCTCATTATTTATAAGATAATTATTGAATAGATGTGATAAAAAGAAACATGCAAAATTACACATAAACCGGAATTTCACTCACCATATATCTGCTTAATTTATATTATCCAGCGCATCAATTTTTATTTACTTTGATATACACAGCTAGGTAGATCTTTTATATTTACTACTTGCTATCAGTTCAGTGTAAGTCTATGGATTTAATCCTATTAGCTATAAACATGTACTACTTATTACTCAGAAATACCGTCTTTATAACAAACAACATTTCCCAACGTGATCATATAAACCGTCTAATATAATAATAAGCTTGTATATATTACAATTTATATTTCCTGTCAACGAATCCAGTATTCCGATATAGTGTAACGGCTATCACATCACGCTTTCACCGTGGAGACCGGGGTTCGACTCCCCGTATCGGAGTGATTAGCCAATTTTCCTAATAATTTTTTTATTTTTTTTATCGTGAAAAAATTGAATCATATTACTCTAATGCAGATACCCATCAGTTTCATTCATGAGTGTTCTCACTTAATTCATTTTTATTATTACAAACTGATATCATAACCTATGAACGAGATTTATATACTTTCATGGGTTTGGTATGGGGTACTAACCAAATATGTAGTAGATACCTTCTGTCTATATCATTCAGAATTTCTTCTATTAGGTGGTGTTGGTGTTTCCAGAATATTATCCATTTTTATAGGATTAAACGGTTTAATATTATGCTTTCTCAAGCTATTTTTCCCTGTATAATCTCCATATATATCTGATAAATTTTCGTCATGTTTTTCGTGCTTACTAGTCGAGATAAAATTCCCTTTACTCTTGCCATATCTGTAGGGTGATGCATCAGTCGATAGCTGATCCATCAATTCTATTAGCTCATTTTCTAAAGATAGCTTTCTCAGTTCATTCTCTCTTTTTATTAGTAATTTTTTTTTCACAAGTTCTATTTGGTTCTCAAGACTTTTTAGTTCAGCACTTTCTTGACATAAAATATCCTCTTCAGACGGGTCTCGTATTTTCGGGGAACTCATAATTGGTTTATTGTTTCTCTCTGGAGGTGTAGCAGAACTACAGACAGGTGGTGACATATCATTGGAATTGCTGTTAATTTTTGTAGAATTGTTCTGTTGACTTTTTTCTAATAGTTGAACTAATTGACTAAGCCTGTCGTTCAAATCATTCGTTTGAGGGCTTTTGTCCTGTTTACCTTTACTATTATATCTTAGTTTGGGGATCTGAATATAATCTTCAGCATTCTCAAACGAGTTCTCTAAAATCGAGTCATTTCTATCGTCATTTCTATCTTTATTCAAAGCATTTGACGATCTTTCAGAGCCTCTCAATTCGTCCTCTAGTTTTCTGTTCATCACACTGTATTTTGTCAACTTCGCTCTAAATTGGCCAATGATAATATTGAGCCGTTCAATTTCTTCACGTTGGGTATGTACAGTTGTTTGTAGCTCTTTGTTTTGAGAAATAAGGTCGTTTATCACAGTACGTTGAAGTTTTATCTCTTCAGGTACCAGTTTATCATCGTCTAAATTCGAGTGAAGTCCGTTTTTGTACACAGGTGGGTTAATGCCGCTATACCCATCATTAAAATTCAATCCTGATTTCCTATAAGGTTCAAACTCCGGTACTTTACCTCTAGCTTGGGACGCATAATATCGATCTCCTCTCGAGTTATACCTTTTTGGCGTTGGAGAAATATTCATTCTGCCTCTCAGATACTCTTTTATAATCGTCTAACACTGTATTTTCCTTTCCAAGGTTTTTATGCAATGCAATCAAATTATCTTTGCAAATGGGTAACTCTCTCCAATGTCTTTCTTTTGTACTTGACTGAGACGCAATCCCATGAGGGGTTCCTTTGTATGTGTTATTTTATCTTAGACGCGCCCTGATCTTAAAATACCTTAGACCATCAATTATAACAATTACTCAACTTGATAAACCGAAGTGTACACAAGTATGTTTTGGTGTGCCCTCCGCCAAAAAGAAGTAGGCCATCACTCTTACCACTAATCAGTGGTCTCTCACATCCCACAGATGCTGTTTTCAACTACGCTCCCTACGTGCCTTGTCTTGCACTACTTTTTCCTTCAGAACTGCATTGGTGGTAAACTTTTGTGACACGAAAAAAGAAGAGCGTCGTTCGATTTCACTCAGAAAGAGATTTGGCATTTCAAGACACGTCTTAGGCGAAATAGAATTCATCTCACGTGATCGATACCTCTGAAGGGACTTAGATATGAGCTATTTGCGAATCCTTTTGATTCGGCCATAAACACAGAAATTGTATATAATCGTACTTTTAGTCAGCATAGGTTGTGAAGAGGTATACACTGTCCATGTATCAACTTGCTATGAATGGATAGCTAGACGATGTAAATGCACCAATACTTTACAGTTTATTTCTGTATTGCCTTTGGTTAATCTTTTACCACTACCAATGTTTTTCAGTTAATGTTCACTTACTGTTAAGCAGCAAATATGGTGCTCAGTGGCTATCACATAAAGACATTAAGTATAGGATATAGGTCTTAGCTCACCGTTCACAATGTATCGATACGCTACCTATCTGAATACCCTAAACGCTTTACTAGGAGACTCTTGTGATATTGGATAGCAATGCAACAAGATTAAGAAAAAATTAACAATTGCTAGAAACAGTAATGAGGCATTTACTTGTCAGTATAGAGTAAGTGTTATAGTTACGAGGAAAACACATATGGACTCAAACTCCTCTAACAAAGCATCTTGGAGATGACATTGAGCTATGCTATTATTTACCTCCCAAATTGTTAAAGGCGGCATTGTCTGTGATTTACTACTTTAAAATACTGATCTCCTCAACCGGATCAATAATGTCTTAAAACTGTTTAAGGACCTCTTCTTATATTTGTCTTGTTTGATTCCTGGTTAATATTTGGGACATATTTAGTATCAAAATAAATTAAGCTCTTCAAAGACAAACATGTCCTGATATACACTTTTCCTCGGAGGAATTGCAATTTGTGACATTGTCTCAGGGTCACTTACTCTTATGCAGGTGCTTACCACATCCCGTACTTGTACTTGTCCCTCTTTTGAGAATGTTGTTCTATGTCCTTTTGAGATACACATTTTCAAGTAACATAATCAAAGTATCCCTACGGAAGTTTCATTGCACAGCAAGGGAATTGCTAAAGAAAATCTGAAGCATGAGCAAAAACTGATTTGTACTATAAGGACGGCAATTTTCTGAAGTTTCTCCGTCTACGCGATTATTGAGTGTTAAGTTGTAGGAATCTCAGTTTGTTTTTTCCGATGCACAGAAATACTTATGTGTCTCTTTGATTTTGTCTTTTTCTCTTCAATACTCAAATTAGAGATAGATACATAGATATAGAACACAAACAGAGAGAGACATGCTATGCAACAGGGACCCCTAATAAAATACAGATCAAAACAATGCAAAAGGGGATGAAAAAAAACGGGAATAAACCAGCGTTGATGCTATCTGTTGTTCCGGCAATTTCTCATTGTCTTTTTTTCTTGGTAAGTAAAGCAGTTATGCTTTTCATCTTTAGGTGTAGTTAAGAGTTTTAAGAAAAAAAGAGAGCATTGGGTCATCTTATTAAACTGAACAGACCTTGTACCAATTTCTTGTTTGATGGTCAGCGAAATAGACGGCAACGCAAAATCAACACTAATTAAGAATATGGGAGTGAGTGAATTTTGAACCTTTGCTTGATTTACAGAAAGGACTTTAAACGAGCTTAATACTAAAAAGAAGAATTTTAAGTTGATTAACTATGATGTAATAAATAATAGTACACTTCTTAGTCTTGTTCTCTTTGCAATAAAGATAACTTCAAGTATACACAAATTGACTGATCTTGTCAAATCAATTCAAACAGAACGCTTTTTATTTAGAAAACTGCTGGCAAGTTCTTACACGCTACAAGTTACTATTACGATATTTACAACATAATAGCAAAACTTACAATATGGAAGTACCACAGTTTGAAATAAGTTCTCATAAACAAAAAAAAAGGGGATGTGTATAACATGTAGTAATCGCTTTTAATGTGTACTTAGCCGAAGTCTCGTAGAATTTTCATCCAAAAATGGGAGTAATTTGGAGATATGTGCAATATCTTCACACTAACAGTAGATAGAGACCAAGGACCCGCTATTGTGCTTCATTCAGATGATATCTTCTTGTCTGTTTAATTAGCCAATGAAACGTATCCAACTTAATTTTCACCCACAGAAGAGGACCCTCTTCTCATCAAATGAGAGTAAGATAAAAGTGTCTCTAAGAGGTTCGCTGGTAATACAAAAATGATACAGCCAACCAAGCATTTTTACAGATACACACTAACAGTGAGATATAGTAGTTTATTAAACCCCTTTCAATTAGCTTGGTGCAACATTGAGGATAGAACAACGATCTTGATAAACAAGTAAATGTTACCATGTGTCATCAACGAGATTTCCCGATTTGGATTCGACCTGTGGTGAGAAAAGCTGAAAAAGGAGTCAAAAAAAATGCTAATAAGAGAAATAATAAGACATAGAGTACAATAAGTTCTAGCACACAAACTCAATCAAAGGTGCTAAATAATTCTTTGCTACTTGACTGTTTACTAGACAAATTCTTAGATCCCGTAATTGCCTTGCCTACAGATTAGAAAACGTGTACCCTATCATTTAACAACAATGTACGTTCCGTGGGTATAACAAAAGTTACGAAATTCTGATATAAGCAACTCTATGATAGTAAGAAAATAGCGTACTGGTCAATTGAAGGTTACTATAATTAGGCTCTTTAACAGTATACAATGTAATCTCTACTGTAGTTCCTGCACATTTAGTACTCAAGTATAGTTAAGCAGTAAGGATTGAAAGCAAGAGGAAGAAAGACTTTTATGTCTTTTTTTCTTTCTTTTGCTAAGTTGAAGAATGCGCGCAATATTTTCACAGTAATTCACAACTTATTAGAAAAGCAGAACAAAAATCACAATTAGGAGCGAAATGATGGTAAGGACATTGCGGAAAAATTATGCAAAACGGAAACTCATTGGGATACGCAGTGTATTTCCAATAAGATTAATCATCCAGACTAAATGTCTTCATTTTTTTTTGGTAAGCTATGTCTATTGACTGTTAAGTCGGAAAAATACTGCTCCGTGACATTTATTTGAAGTATATTTTACGCAAGAAGTCCTTAACAACTAGCACGCAAGACCAAATTGCTAAGAAACAAGGAAACAAATCTACAAAGAAAATGCGCACAATACCGTCTTGATTATGTCATGGTGCTGGGGAGGATATATACCGAAGATAATGCTGTAGTATATTCTCTGCAAACCATCCTTTGCTTACTTACCCTCTTCGCAATGCCTTCATTAATCAACTAAAATGCTCACAAGCAGAGAAACACTCCTCCACAAATTAGATTAGTAAATTGGATATACTCTATTGTAATGGTGACGTCAATACCTAATTAATAAGCGGATTAATATTGCCATTGTTTGTTTGGCCCTGTAAGGGTTTTGTTATGCTTCCCAGAATAGTCACCTAGAAAACAACCGTCGAGCTTTCTATTGATAGCTGGCATAACCATTCCTAAGACAGTGTCAAAAGTAGAAGTTATGATATTTAGTTATGGCAAGACGACAGTTATAGTAAAAAGCAGTAACGTCTATTGCTGCTGGCTTTTCTTGAAAACTACAATTTGATAAAGTTGTTTAATACCTTGACCACTTTGGACACTTGGGACATTATTTCAACTTAGATTATGCTAGATTTATATTTTCTCTATGCGTAGTCTGAATCTCACGTTCGTTTACGCTTCGAGGATAATAGATTAATTTGGTATACTACTTCAAATAGTAGAACATTTCAGTCAGTTGAAAAAATTGTAAAGGCAATATTATATTCTATTTGCATATAGATTTTCACTTTATATATCATTAAGTGCCGCTAAACATTTGTCACTGAATAAAAGCGTATGAGATTGAAACAACGTCATAAAGAAAGTACTTTTCCTATGGTATAACCAACTTCACATCCAAATCTTTGATTTTGTAAGAGTAATTAACTGGATGGATACAAACTACTAAGCTATGATTTGTTTCTCATCTCTTAGTTCGTTGAGAATTCCTTAGTTTGCAGGCGATAAGAGTAATCTACACAAATAATATGATTTTTTTTAGAGGTCGTTTTAGATTTGTTTCTAAAGAGTAGATTCTCCAACTTAGTAAAAGATTTAGTAACGATTGAATATGATTAAAATATCATACTTAGCGGTTACATATATATTCCAGTCAGGAAGAAATGAGCTATTCTAAAGTGAGTTATAGTCATACAAGCAGGTAAATTGGCTGTTATAGCGACTTTAACAATGGAGCAATCTTAATTTTATCCTTTCTCAACTAGCGCGTTCTTCTGATCGTACTACTTCTTAAATTTCTAAATGCTAAAAAAAGCATCATATTGCTATCGTCTGAAAACCCTAATTTCAATTTTTCTTTATAAGAGCATGTTTATCGTTAATAGAATGCCGTTCAAATGCCTCCTGCATATTTAATATACAATAACTTTGTATCTTATTTTAAGGTCAATTCCCAGCATAATCTCAGAAATCAACACAAAAGCCAGTTCAGCCATAACATGATAATATAGAAACTTACCGCGCCGCTGGTTATATTAAGGATGTACAAATCAATTCCAGATTTCTATATCTTCTATTTTTTAGCCAGAACACATCTTGACAGAAGAAGAAAAGTCAGGTACATTATTTTCTAATAGTTAATGTTAACGCATAAAGTAACTTTTGAATAGCTCTTGCATGGATAACACATTGATTTGCTATAGAGAATTATTTTGATAAAGCACAATGAAACACATCACAACGGATTCTTCAAGAACATTCAAATTTGCCTTGATGATTTGAGCTTTTCCAAACAGAATAAAATAGAATCATTACTGTTGTAATAAAAGCCAATTTTTACTAATATTACTGTTGTTGTTAATATTATTAATGCATTATTCCTGTCTATTTGCAAATCTATCGTCCAGAGTACCAGTAAAATTAAAACGGTCTCATTTTAACTGGTGGGCTTTTATATTGCCATCCATCACAGAACAAAATATATTGGCAATATCATAGTGATTATTTTATTGCAGCTATCGACCCATCTTCTCATAGGATGTGACGCTAAGCATGTAATAGTGATTAGACCTGTTAGACTATCAAAAATTGTCAGATGTATCCCACAGAAATGAAAAATTTTTTATAATTAACCTAAAGAAATTTGAAGGTATATGTTTATATACTTCAAATGTATGGGTAACAATTGAAGGAGCTAAGCCAGAGAAAATGGTCAGATTTCAAAAAATTTGTATATGAATGAAACTTTTTTTTATCAGCTATAATTGTAATTAAAATTCATCTGTGTGTCCTATTGACAATTTTCAGACCCTCTTTTCAGAGTAGTAAAGAGCTGTGTGAACTTCAAAAGCCTATAACCTATATGATAACTGGTTAAGAGAATTGTCAAGTAATGAGTTTTTTAATATTTTAGAAGTATATAATCTTCTTTGAATCTACAGTTTCTATTTGACAAGGTTGAAAATAATAATTCCGGTAACAGTTTATTACAATTAGGGAAATTTGAGGAACGCTAGGCCTTACCACTGATACCGTTAGAACGATATTGTGGGCTTTTTCACTCACATTTTTCTGAGCATATTGCCATTGCTCGGGACGAACGGTATTTTTATCTCAAAATGAACCGCAGAGTGATGAATACTAGGCAAGGTACTGGAAAGCGAGTTATAGACTTGGGTTTTTATGGTAGATTGGATGGTCAATCTATGAAAATGTACCAAATGCCTTTTCATATAGTATTGATTAATATATTCTAGTTATGTTTTCAATTGTGTTGGACATATTAACTTATCCCCTCCGAAGTGAATGACATTGGTATTCCGTTTTATCACAATTACAAATATATTATCCAATTTTTACTTGATAAATTTGCCCTACGTTCTCCCGTTACTCTGATATCGAAATAAACTATACACCACTTATGGAGAAATATAGAGAGACAAGATAAAAGTTTATCGTTGATACTGATTTTTTAGTGCGTGTATCTCTAAAGTCCCTACATAATCGGATATCACTAGGATATTTTTCTTTTTATACGTTCTCTCCTGGCCCCCTGTTATCCGGGTTTTCGGGATATTTCCCGCTCGTATGCGATGTTAGTGCACGATCCTCTCGTTAGAGAATTGCAAACCCTGTTTTTTGCTGAACTATCAAACACTCGGTGCATCTCAGCTTGTGTTGGTGTTTTTGCTTTTTTTTTGTTGGAACTTTGTTGTGAAAACGGTGCACAAGCCTATTAGTGACAATCATTGCCTACGTTGCTATAAAGCAAAATATGCAATCGATCCAAATGATCGACACTTGCGTGTCTATGCAAGTCTCCTTATGGGGATTAACATTCATGTTCTTCTTCTTGTTCTGAGGCTCATTCTTCCCATACTGTTGTTTTTCTCTACTTTTTTCTTCCAGCTGCTACTGACATCATGTTTTTCCAGTACTCACAATATGCCGTATCCTATATCATTCAATTACAATATTTTTTCCGGTGTAGCTATATTCTTTTATTATAGTTTTCTGCGTGGGCTTTTAGTATGGCATGCAGAGAAAAATCGCGGACTCAAGCTGATATTTGTTTTTCCGATATCGTTCTCCCTTTGTCTTTACGCGTTTTTACTTGAATTTAGCATTTTTCATTAACTTCTTCTTTCAGTTCAGCTTTTTTTGGTGTACATTCCTACAAATTATCAATGGCACCTCTGCAGCTCTTTTTCTTAAAGAGATTCCCATCTTTGCGTAAACCTGGAAACTGCGCTTTATCCTTTTTTTTTACCATTTATGACTTCACATTATCCTTTGAAGTTAACAAAATATGAAGCAAATATAGACCGAAAAGCAATGTGCAACGGAAAGTAAAGCTTCTTATCCGCGGTGCTATGTTTTGTACGCACCTTCCTACGTGGAGTGTAACGTTGTAGCTCAAAGATTTGCAATACCGACCGCTCAATCTCAATACATCCAGTTTTCGGGTTTATATGGTAATACGTTAGAGAAATTTTGCCGATAGGACATGGAATCTAAAGAATAAGAAAAAAGGTAAAAATAACTCCCAACAATTTGAACTATCCTCTTTTTTTATGTTGAGAATAGGGCATGAGAGTTCAAGATCGTGTTGCCTACATGTAGTGGCCGCTATACAATTGCCGAGTAAGAATATACCAAGTGTATTAATTTTTTAGTGAGCAAGCAGTTATATAGATTACAGCTTAGATATGAGAACATCGGGAATAATTGTCGCTTTCCCCTTTTTACAGATTTCGTTCTTATGACAGTTGTTGTACACATTCAACACAAAAAAAATGCAAAGCTTTTTTCACACTATCTTTTTTTTACCTTGCGTAATATCTGCACCCCTGCAGCCAAGTTTTGTATTGTTTTGCATTCTATCAAAAAAGATGGAAGTGTGTACTGCCTTTCCACATGTATTCAAGTAGTTCCACTTAGTTTGTCTGCCCATCGCGTTCCTCTCCCTCAACCCTACTTGACATTTCAAAGAAAAAACATTAAAATATGAGCTAGAATTTTATTATGTCATCCATATTTTGGCTGCAAAAAAAAATAAAAAGACAACAAAAGAAAAATAAAAACATATCCAGATCAAGATACAAAACTAAAAAAGAAAGCAAACAAACGAACTGTTGGGTAGTTTTATAACGTAATAATCTATAGGTAGCCTGGATTGTTCTTCTGAATGACGTTATGGTCTTGATACCATAAGTTTGCCCATTAGAGCATGACCAATATGAAATCTATTCTAATATAGACTGCGCGCCATGCCTTAAGATATACTAATGCATTTATAGATTCATATAATTGTATAGTATGATGTGGAATAATATATATTCTCTGTCTATCTATTGGTTATAATTCAAAGCATAGGTAAGATGGAAATTAAAAAAAAAACTTCTTGTATTATTAGTGCCTTTCCTGTATAAGATGACAGAATTGATATAGAGATTATACTAATAGAATCTAAAAATGGCCTGAATTCGTTATTTACGTGGAGGAGTTAATAAGAGAGGAAATCTTTGTTACATCTGATTTTGAAGCTCTTCTAGAATCCCAGCTAGAATCGTTATCTTCAGACTTGATTAATGGAGGTGTTGATGATGATGATTTCAGTATTGGTCTTTCTTCATCTTCTCTTTTAATGATAGTTGGAAGTCTAACATATTGATGAGATGTAGAAGTTGGCGAGTGTTGCTGTTCCTCGATTTTCGGTATCATTCTAACATGAGAAGTTGGAGAGTGGTACCCATCATGTACAGAAGAAGATTGTGTAGCATTACTTATTACGTGATTGCTTGCCGGAAGTTGATAAATCTTGGATGTTACAGTTGTATTATCTTGCATAGGAATGACTAGACTAGATGGTTTTAATGAGGTTTTTAGGACGCTTGTGATATCTCTCACGAAAAGAGGATACAATAGGTCGACTATTTTTTCTCTCTTGGCAATGAATAGTGCCCTCTCGAAGGGAATCCAGACACCTTTTAAATGCATAGAGCCTATCTTTACCACCTTTCTATACTTTTCACTTCTAAGTATACCGTCTCTTTTACCTCTGGTCATCTTAGTAACATTAAGTAGCTTAGTTCCGTTAATCATGTCATTGTCCGCTCTACGAACCACCGACACGCCATTAGCCTCTACTTGATAGCAAAGTGTGTTCTCATCTTCCCATATAGTAGTTATTATTCTTGGACCCTTACCATCTCCAGCGACTGCAGATGAAAGTACCCGCAGAGAATGATGTTGTTGGGAGTCTGGGATAGCAGCGATGGTTAAATGTGTTGGTTGTTGATGTCCCACTATGGATGATCTTATCTCCGATGCAGAGTTATGTCTTGATCCGCTGCCTATCTGGCCAGCCGGTATTATTGTAGGATAGGTTGGAGAAGAGCGATATGGGTAAACGTGGTGTGCTTGATTTAGAGCATTAATTGAGGTGGAGGTTGTATATTGAGGTGTAGTTGATACTAAGCCAGACCCTTGGGTAATAACTGTGCTCCCATTCCCCACAGCCGCATTACCACTAGCACTGCTTTGGCTCATTCTACTGGCAGTAACTGGTGTGCTTGACCCCTGTTGATATACAGCGGAAACATATCCGCTACCTGATGTACTATAATATATTGGTTGGTGCTGTGGAATACTAGTTTGGACATGCTGTATATGTTGTGGTTGCGGTTGTTGGTAAGGGTTGTACCTGTATACCACATGTTGTTGCGCGTTTGGAGGATATGACATTTGATAATATGTGTTGGCAGTAGCTGTATTGATGTATTGAGCAGATGATGTCATTACAAAATTGACAAATGCAAAATATAATACTTCTGGAGCTAGTTTAAAGTAAAATGAAAATCGTTTGTGATGAAATTGATCTTCTACTTCTGTGCTTCCAAAAAAATATGGCTATAATACTGTATGATAATAGAACAAACTTTCCCTCGGTCACAATAATAAAAATGAACTGAACTGGAAAAACTAATTGTAGCCTTGAAAGGAAATGTGATTAATTAATGGAATAGTTATGATAGTTAACAAAAATAAAATGCTAGAATGTTGTCTTTTTGTTTCTATTTTGGTAGAGCGAGGTAGTTAGAATATGCAGTAAATGATTTGAATGAATATAGGTCAAAAGTAAAATACACTTGAAAATGAAACCAGCTATTTTATGATACAGTTGGTGTATTAACTGTTTCGAATTTTTGAATAATTGAAAATTCGCAAACACCGATGATGTTTTTTTTTATGTTGCAAACAAAAGGTAATTTGGTGTAAGCCTAAATTTTTTTTTTTTTAGTAACTGTATCAGATAAAAACGCTTGAAACAATATATTATTGTTTCGAGGTTGTTTTAGTAGTGAAATATTCCTTCCTTTTTAGTATTTTTATTTTTCTTTGTCTAAAGAAAAAAATAAATATCTGAAGGATGTATGTTAATCTGTGTAGATAACTTTAGAGTTGTAATGTGTTTAATAATTTGTTGTATTTGTGACGGATATCCCACAAAAAAAAATTGATATTATCAGCACTAACAGCGGTTTTTCAAAATGGATGAGAGGGGAAAAGAAAATTAGTGTTTCTTTTGTTCTTCAATAGTTTCGAATACAATTAATATACTCTATTGTAACTTTGTCCTGTAACCACAAAAATAATTTTTGAACTTTAGAATTGTAAATTTCAAGTATCGTCAAAGTGAAACTATAAGTTAAGAGTCAGTTTATCCTCTAAGATAAATATCGGAAAGGGAAAAGGATAAAATCATGGTTATTTTGAATCATTTATATACATAGATTACTCAAATAAAGATTACAACAAAAAAAAATTGAAATGCGGTACCTTTTCTGTTACGTTTTCATATTCCAATTTGTTTTCTTTCATTCATTAAAATTACTACTACAACTTGTTTTCGCTTCTTACATATTATTGAGAAATTGCACAGCAAATTCCCACAACCTGATTTTCCTCTTACTATTCAAGTTGTGTAGTACAGATACATTTACGTATTCTTCTCCTTTAGAATATGGGGTTTTTCCTATTCCTATTCCTATTCCTGTTCGTATTCCTTTCCCTTTTCCTTTTTCCTTTTCCTTTTCCATTTCGCTTTCTGTTTCTCTAGCTTTTTGATTTCTATAAACACAATTATTAATTTTAAATTCTCTTCTCTTTTTGTGTTCCCTCTTGCTCTCTCTCTTTCTCTTGCTCTCTCTCTCTTGTGTTCTTCAGTACAAAAACAAATTATTTGTGCAAAAAGAAAATGCACAAACTAAAGAACATAACAATCACATAATTTATTACATCTTTCTGCCTTTCCTCCCCCCTCCCCTCCCTACTTCTTGTGTTCTACTGTCTTTTGCTCCTTTTTTGTCTCCATCCGTACGCATTGGTCTGTTGCCAGTAGGAGAGAAAAAAGGTGTGCAACAGTTTGCCTTTTTCCCTTTCTTAGCCTTCTCTTGCAAAGTTCTGTGGTTTGGTGAAATTAACGGGCATAACTTTCCTTTTCTTCGCTTTCTGTCCTTCTCATTCTCTAGCTTGATTTTGTCCAGTTCTTAGTTTGTGTCCTTTGTTGTCTAAAATTTAACTTTGCTGACATTTTTAGTTTTTTTGTCAAAGTGTGTTTCCTTTTTTTTTTGGGTTTTTTTGGGCTTTTGGGCTTTTGCATCTTCTTGGGAGCTACGAAGATTTACTCGTTTGAATGAAATACAAAATGTACCTTAAGTTTCTATTAGGACATTTCTTATGTGAACCGTGTGAGTGCTGTCAGGCAGTTCATCCTGGGCATGCTCAGTGCTAACACGTTATGATTTCAGTTGGTTAGGAGGATGGACATCAGAGGCAAAGGCATGCACACAATGCAGACTAAGGAGAGCAGAGACGCACAAGATGAATGACAGATACTGCTGTACAAAGGATGAGAATTCTATCCATCAGATGGAGTTGGTGCTGGGCTTTTCATGGCTCAAATAGGAGACGTAGGGAAGTTAGTAACATTTTATTAATTTCTTTCCTTACGCTACTAGGCGTGGTGTACTTGCTAGTTCCACATGGAGGGATGTACTCATTTTGGTATTGGGCTGAATTGCTTCTCATGTTCCCGCACGCATTTTCTTTTCCAGTTGTTTCCTAGGTTTTTCTCTCTCTCCCTAAACATGTCAATTTCTATTAGGACATATAGTTCTTGCTAGCTATTTTTCAAGGGCTACGCATGCTGTTTGTTGTTTGGCTAACTGTGCATCAAAGCAGAACAGACATGAACATCACATACCAGAAAATCTTATTAATAGGGACAAAATCTGAAGAGATTTGTGAAAAAACGTTAAATTTTTATCTCCACGCACAGTTTCTCGTACTTACCTTTACATTGTTCCTCGATTTTAGTTCTTAGTAAAATTGTCTCCTTAATGTGTTGTGATGGTAATAGGCTTGTGTCGGGAATCGGGATTTTCTCTTTTTTTATGTCTTTGGACATTTTGTTTGTACTAGTCTCTGGTTCGTTTATCTATCATTGTTGTTCTGTTCGGTTTCATTATGCTGGCGATTGAACAAATCGCATAAATGATATGCACTTTGGATACCAATCATCATATCAAAATAGCTTTATTTTCGAGAGCAAGAAGATAAGTTTACTTCCCTATGCCCACTGCATTGCTTTAATACTTATCTCTAAAAAGATTTTGAATCTCGTTAAGAAGCAAAATGAACTAAAGGATAACAGAAGGTGCATTAGGAAACGTTAGATGCTACAGCACATTCTGTCATAACTCAAGAGCACAAGCTGTCGCTGATGCTTTAACACAGTACATTGCAATCGTAAATTCTATACCGCCTTCTTTTCTTATTCTTCAGAACCAGAATCTGGAAGAAGAGGGGAGGTCTGAAAGAATCCAGTGCTAATGAAAAAAGGTTTACATTTTTATCTCTTTCATTTTCATTTACTTGTGATCATGAAGTTCAATTAGCTATAACTCGAGTAGAATTTAGGCCTTATCGAATAGAAATAAATGCATGAAGATGCTACGTTTTTGTTTTTTTCAATGCTATCAAATGAAAACACAATAATGGATAATGAAAAAAGTATACATCAGGTTATTTTAGTTCCTTATCCATTATGCACTCACACACGCACAAAGCACAACAACTGTATACAATTAACATTTTGCATGTTCTCCTTTTGCTTTTTCGTTTCGTTTTACAAATTGTAGTAGACACATCAGAAATGTAAAACACAATCTGAAGTGTTGATATGGAGATTGCATCCTCACAGCTTAATAGTATGTACGGAATTTTTGTTTTTCTTTTGAGTAGCAAGTAGCTATTTGAATATACGTACCGTCTGTTTATTGTTGCTGGACCCTTTAATTGTCCCTACATGTCAATGAACAACAACTCCTCTTTACTTCATGTCATTTGCTAATAAATATCTACTTAAACTGGTAATACAGCAAAAAGGAAGAGTAGTGCGTCAATACATTTCTGTCAATGGACAAATTTTGTTTGGTTTTTTCTCCACGGTGATCATATTTCAAGCTACTAGTAATTGTCCATTTCAATTGCATAGTATATGTAGAGGACAGGATGTATGTTATACCATTCAGAAATCCTTCATATGCTTGTCAGAATTGTATGTAGAATAAGCATATTGCAAAAACAAGGCATATTGGATATATGTAGTTTTTGTCCATCAATTTGTTTTCTTCATTTTTTATTACTCAGTTTTTCCGAAATACAGGATTACATATTTTATAACACCGATGGCTCAGAAATCAGAGATCGCATCACTTTTCTTTTTTTCTCCTTTCTCACTTTCGTTGCAGTGTTCGGGTTTCAGTACACATTTCACAATTTTCACCGCTCCTTACCCCTCTCTTATTCCTTCGGCATTCTACAGCATGAAGTAATGATGCCTGTGGAGCTCAGAAAATTTCTGGCAGCTGCAGGGATTTGCTTACTTCCTTCTCGTCAGGGTTTTATCCTCTCGGGAATAGCAAAATATTGGAGATAACAAAAAAAAAGCTGTGCAGGTTCTTTCTTCAAGAGGCAATACAATTATACTGTAAAAAGCAGGGCAAATCTACTTAAAAATTAAGGCCGGTGTGGTGAAGCTACTCTCTTCGGTAGAATTTGTCATTTGTAAGGTCACTAAAAGGCTAAGAATTGTGTTCAACTTACTATTGTGCCGGAAAAACTTTGCGCTTGTTAGCAATTAATTGGTAGCTCTATAACCCGTCGATGAATTTTACACAGTTTTTTTAAGTAACTTTATTGAGAACGACAGTTTAGGAACTACACCAAGCCTATGAAACTTTCGCGGGAAGCCAATGAAGGTCAAATTTTTTTTTTCAAAGGCGAAAAATAAATCAAGATTACTTAGAAGCAGAACATTTTATTTTGGTAATACGAAGAACTAACTGTAGCAAGTTGAAAAAATACAAGCAAAACTGAAAATGAGCAAATCATTTACGAAAAGGAACTAAGCTTACATGAAAGTTTTCTGTAGGAGTTTATACGGGATTCTCCTGAGGTGATTCTTTTGCTAGCTGCCTAGCTTTTACTAAGGATTTGCTTTTCGCATTTCCGTTCAGCCTGTTGATTCTCTCTCTTTGCAAGAAGGAAGGAACTCAGAAAAATGTAAAATACAGCCAAATCATCTTGAATCTCGCTTTAATTAGGTTTGTCTACAAAGACCCGTGGATGAAGGGGCAAATATTGCAGTTTTACCTACTACACTCTTGATATCAGAGTTAACGCTCTATCATACATCTGCGCTATGATAGAAAACAAGTGTATCTGATTGGACT